CCATCCACGGCTTCACACACGGTAGGCAAGTACTCTACCACTGAGGTATACCTCTAGGCCTATGGTATTCCTTTTTTTTGGGGGGTGGGTACTGGGGACTGAACTCAGGGGCACTGGATCACTGAGCCACATCCCCAGCCCTATTTTGTATTTTATTTAGAGACAGGGTCTCACTGAATTGCTTAGTGTTTCATTTTTGCTGAGGCTGGCTCTGAACTTAAATTCTCCTGCTTCAGCCTTCCGAGCTGCTGAGAGTGTGGCAAAGCCACAGGTGTGTGGCAAATGATGATTATTTTTAGCTCCAATATATTCAAGGGTAGTAAAAGGAAATTTTATTTCTTTTCAAGGTAGGTCAAGGTGATATGAAGGTATTTATTTAGGAAGATAGTTGAATTAACAGTATTTCAAATAGGGGACTAAAATATTTTGTTTCTTGGTTCAAATGTAAGGTCGCTGTTATATTCTGTCAATACTTAGGCATACTTAATACGCTTTTATATTCACCTTAAATTGTGTTTGCATATAATTTTTTTAGAAAACTGATTTAAAATTTGCTTTTTCCTCAACAGATACACTTTTTAAGGAAAGTATTAGTTATGCTTCATGTCCAATTATTTTGGAATGAATGAATTATTGAAAACGTATTTTAAGGGCTGGGGATGTGGCTCAAGCGGTAGCGTGCTCGCCTGGCACGCGTGCGGCCCGGGTTCGATCCTCAGCACCACATACAAAACAAAAGATGTTTTATCCGCCAATAACTAAAAAATAAATATTAAAAAATTCTCTCTCTCTCTCTCTCTCCCCCCTCTCTTAAAAAAAAAGAAAATGTATTTTAAAAATTGTTGATAATTTATTTTGATTATATATATATATATATATATATATATATTTTTTTTTTTTTTTTTTTTTTTTTTTTGTGGTGCTGGGGAATCAAACCCAGGGCCTTATACATGCAAGGCAAGCACTGTACCAACTGAGCTATATCCCCAGCTCAAGTTCACAATAGCTAAATTGTGGAACCAACCTAGATGCCCTTCAATAGATGAATGGATAAAAAAAATCTGGCATACATACACAATGGAAAATTACTCAGCAATAAAAGAGAATAAAAATCATGACATTTGCAGGTAAATGGATGGAGTTAGAGAATATCATGCTAAGCAAAATAAGCCAATCCCAAAAAACCAAATGCCAAATATTTTCTCTGATATAAGGAGGCTGATTCATAGTGGGATAGGGAGAAGGAGCATGGGAGGAATAGACGGACTCTAGATAGGGCAGAGGGGTTGGAGGGGAAGGGAGGGGACATGGGGTTATTAATGATGGTGGAATGTGATGATCATTATTATCCAAAGTACAGGTATGAAGACACAAATTGGTGTGAAAATACTATATATACAATCAGAGATATGAAAAATTATGCTCTATATGCGTAATAAGATTACATGGTAATGCATTCTGCTGTCATATATAAATCAAAATAAATAAATAAAAAATTTGTTGATGAAAGAAAGGCAGGAATGCAAGCAGAGTTAAGGAATTTGCCTCAGTCACTTTGCTTTTTGTAGGAGATATACACTACTATACAACCTATACATCCTTTATTATAAGATTGGCAGCCCTAAAAATTCCTTTTTTAAAAAAATATTTATTTTTTAGTTGTAGTTGGACACAATGCCTTTATTTATTTATTTTTATGTGGTGCTGAGGATCGAACCCAGGGCCTTACACTTGCTAGGCGAGCACTCTACTGCTGACCCACAACCCCAGCCCAAGAATTCCTTTTTTAACATAGCATGTGATAGATGTATTCCTGTCCCTGAAGGAATGAGGGGCAGATACTTCTATACACAGCTCAATCACTATTTAATCATATTTACCCTTTCCTGGATGCATGCAATGACTGAGTGTTGCATGTTTCTTTTAATTTCAAGAATAAATACTGGGAAAATATTTATTTATAAGAACAAGTAACAGTTTTCCTGGATGTGTCCTTTGAAGTCAATCTCCTTGGACGATAGGTTTTTTTATAATATAAAGTTCTATTTCTGTTATAAAAGCTTATGAGACAGACTGTAAATTCCTTAAAACTTCGGCTATCATTTTTCATAGCAGTGCTCTTTCTCAAATACTCCACACTCTGGGATATCGGAGTCATTGTTAAATGGATTATTAAAATGACAGACGAGGTTCTTACACATGACTAAGTAGTCCTGAGTATAAATTAGGTGCTTTGGGATATGTATGCTCTCTTTTAAATCTCTAGAGTGATATTACTACATTGAAGTACAGGAATAGTTTACTAACTGGTCAAATCTAAGCTGGTAATTAAAAACTGATGAAGTTTGGCACTACGATAGAACATTTTTAATAACTGCCTTCAGAATGCCACTTTTCTAATTTGGAACTTATCAATTTACATAAAACTTTGTATTTACAGTTCCACTAATATACTTGGGAGAAAATGTTTCACTTAAATTTAAGAAACACCAAAGGCAAGAAAATTCATATGGAAAATATCTTGGCCTCTCTCAACATTTGCAAATATAAAAGTCTTTACTGAAAACTTTTCAAACACTTTTCACCATAATATCCTAAATTTTTAGGAATCAATGAATATTTTTGAGTGATATTATATATAAAATATATTGCTGCATGAATCTAAATCCATAATTCTAATTGATACAATTTCTTTATTCTTGCTTTCATGAATCTTACTGGTTGAAGAGAACATGGTTGAAAAAATGCCTTCTTTAGAAATGGGACCTTTGAGTTTCTCAAGGTTATTAAGAATATTAAAAAAGTAACTTTGGGTAAATAAGATGTTTTCATAAAATATCACATATCTTGCAGGAACCAAACCAGGCATACTCAAACAGGTAAAATCCGCTTTTATCTCAATACTTTCTCACTTTGAAAGGAGTTATGTAGTCTACATTTCAAACACGGAAGTTGTTGTTTCTTGTTATCAGATTACAAGTACAATGCCTATATTATCAAAGAGTTCATTTTCTCCAAACACCAAATTTGTCTTTTAAAGAAATACTCATATAGTATTTAAGCTGATATTTATGTCAGACTTAGGAAACTAATTAAAGCTTCCTGAGAGGGGTCAAGAGAGGCATACAAAGCCTACAGCTTATTCTTGTCTTTTATTTTTGTACCACCTGTTTATAAGAAAAGGAATCAATAACCTTCCTACGTTCATATATAAATACATGACTATTAGAACTTCACAGCATGTACAATCACAAAAATGGAAAGTCATACTCCATGCACATTTGATACGTCAAAATACATTCTACTGTCATATATAACTAAAACGAACAAATAAAAAAAAAGATCCTTGGCTGATATAAAAGAAAGTAAGATTTTGAAACAATTTCCTTCCTTCTTTTCCTTTTCTTTTTACTCATTTAAGATGGCTTGGAAATGGCTCCATGAATTCTCTAAAAGGATTAGCAATAACATTTTATGCTAAGTAAAAAAAAAATGAATACTACTTTCTTTTCTCAAATGACTACTGCAGAGGGTAGGTGACTACTGAATTTTAATGTAAATGTTAAAATTTTTTTTATCATGTCCAGACTTTTTGTAACTGTAGAATATTTATCACTACCAACTATATGATTCCTCAAATTTGAGCTATACCATACCAACCAAATATTCCACTTTGTCTAGAAGGGTAATTTATTTATTTACTTAAATTTTTTTTTAAGTTCAGTTTATTTATTTATTTATTTATTTTATGCGGTGCTGAGAATCAAACCTTTACCAATGAGCCACAACACCAGCCTGGGTAATTTATTTTTAACTTACTGCCTCTAAACTGCCCCCCCCCCCCTTTTTTAACTTTAAATAAGAAACAGAAAAAAAATGCTTAAAGAATTTTTGCATCATAAAATATCCTGTGAATTTTCATATTATTTATAGAATTAGCTTTTATCTTTGGGCTTTCAATTTAAAATTCAAATTTATCTCGATGCAGTAAATCTCATCCAAAGAATGTAAATAGATGTTTAACAATAACATGTTATTATTTCAAGGAACTTTTATTGTACTGAGACCTACTAAAAGGAAACCTAAACTTACAAATGGCAGAAAATAGGTAGATTCAGTCACCAAATATTCTCCAACTTATCTCCAAATTAAAGTAGAAGTGATTTGAAATTGGACATGGTCTATGCATTCATATTACCTTGATCCTGACTGGAAGACAAGTTCCCCAGAATCTAGCTAACAGGTTAGGAACAATTGTTCCTATATGCAGAAATGTGCCAGAGGTTAAGCTACACACTTACAACATGAGTTTTCTATAATGACACTGGATTTGGGATGTGCTATGCAGCTGCAGGGAATATTATTTTGTATTTTGGTTAGGAAGAAAATACTGTCAGAATACTTTTTTTCTTTTAATGTAGAAGAAACAGCTGCCTTCATGGAAATGGAGTTGGGGATACTCCAATTCAAGCCTACAGTACAATGTATTTTGGAATGGAGCACTTGAATTCTCAGCTGCCATCCCAGATTATTGCTTCTACGTCTATCCATCTCTTTCAAGGAATGCTTTCCTTTTATCTAGTGGGTAGGAAATATTAGAACTTGGGATAAGCGATATATCTTTTTGTATCCAAAACTAACCTTAGTGACTTGTTTCTATGAAAGTAGTAATACATGATGATAGAAAAATGGGATTCATTTTACAAAAATGTATTTACAAGCAACTTTTTAGGAACATAGCTCTTCTACTAAGGCACGAACATTTGTATTTACAACACAGATCTGAAACACCTACATGTTTCTCTACATAACAGAACATGTTTCTCTTAGCTGATGCAATGTTTTATCTTCATATTTGAGCAGGAATTTATAAATAGGTCATTCTTAGTATTTTGGCCAAAAGGACATTTAAGCATGAGTTTTGTTTTAGGAAAAACAGTGAAGTGTAACAGCATAAAATATGCTAGTCTTTTCACTTTTTTACATGCACACAAAGTTACCATCTAAAGTCTTCTTTAATTCAGCTTTCAGTTTTTCCTGGTCTTCTACTAGTTTTTTATTTTCTGTTTCCAAAGTGTGTTCTTCATCTGTGGTTTTCAAAATCTATCACAAAAGAGAGGTACAGGAAGAAGTAAGCTTAGATTAAGATAGCTAGATAGATAGCTAGATAGCTTATAGCTAGATAGCTTATAGCTAGATAGATAGCTAGATAGCTTAATTAAAGCTCTACTGAATATATTATATAATCTTAAAATCATGTTTGGGAAATAAGGATTAAAATATATTCTGGAACTAAAGGAGACTCAAAATTTTGAAATTAAAAAATAATTTTTAAAAAATCAAGACAAGAAAAAAAATTTATAGGAAGGGAAACAAGTAATCTATCTAAAGCTATTGGTTTTTATTTTATTCTTTGTCCTTTTAGATATTTTATAATTTTCTATAAGGTTACCATTTTCTTTTGCTAACAGAAACTTGATAATTGACACACACAAAAAATATTTCTTTGTATTATGGCTAAAATATCTGAAATGAAAATAAGAATTTCTTGATAAGGTACAATTAGAATTATGTTTTCAAAATTATTCAGGTAAATAACATGAATCTCTCTTCCTCAATTAAGTGCATGGCATAAATCTAAGGAAATAAGAGGTTGACAGTAATTAGAAAACCATTGTGTTCTGGTTGCAAAGCTGTCCACTCAAGACTATTTTTTTATACAGACAAATTTGTAAGAATATAAAGTTGTCAGGGTGGAGACGGATAAGTGGAAAATGACAGGGCCATATCTATGGCTGGAAAATTCTATCTAATTTTCATTGAGCAGTCCCCAAATTATTTTTACTCAGCAATTAATTCTTTACAATGTTATTTATATTTTGAAATCTATTCTGGCTTTTAGAAAAATTGTAGCTTATCTTTTCTAGGCAGGAAAAATTAAGATCTCAACAGTGAAACAACTGATTAAAATAAAAACATCATGAAGTAAAAAATTCCATAATTTATATGGATACAAACTATCACTGTTACTAGAACTAGGAAGCTGACTTAAAGAAATATTAAGGAATTTAAGTTACTAATATAAATAAATGAACATTTAAAAACTAAAATATGTAACCTCTAGCATGGGTTAGTGGACTAAATAAAGTGGCAACAACTTAATACTGACAGCTTCCAGGGTCTGGTAAAAGAGCAACTCACAAGAATTTTACACAGACTGAGGTAAGAATTTCAAGGGCAGAGTGATTCATTTTTTAATGTAAGTTGATATGGTCAACAAACAAAACTTACAAATTTCCACTGAGCAATGACTATAGGCAAATATTTTATAATCCAAGGTGCTGTAAGAGAAACATGATTCCTACTCTTAGGTAACTTTAGTAGAAATGAAAAGATGAGCATAAAAACTGTTGCACAAGACCAAATATAGTACTAATGCACTATAACAAAAATTAGGCAAGTCAGAGGAGGAATTAAAGCTCTACTGAATATATCATAAAATCTTAAAATCATGTTTGGGAAATAAGGATTAAAATATATTCTGGAACTAAAGGAGACTCAAAATTTTGAAATTAAAAAATATTTTTTTTTAAAAATCAAGACAAGAAAAAAAAATTTCTCCAAGTCTTTTAATTTGTTGCTTAGTTCAAGTTCAAAACAATTATAGCTGTTACTTCATTGAATTCAGTTCATAAAATCTCTAGTGATTACTCAAATTGGAAAAGAATCACTGAGTTGCAGGAATGTTTATAGTGACTACTTGAATTATTATGGCAATGATTTGGAAAAGTTGGATTTGTGTTAGTCTTGTAAATAAGCTTTCATTACTGCACCTGTAAAATCATCCAAATTTATTATGTGTAACTTCACTTTGGAGACAGACCAGGGACCCTAGAATCTGAAATTCAATAGCTACCAGCTACATGAACATAAGTATTCTCTGTCCCACTCACCTCATCCCACCTTGGTAAGTGACTGGAACAAAAAGTCTGTGCGAGGTAAAACTCTATACTGTTTTTTTTTTTTTTTTTTAATTTTAAAGCACTTAAATTAAAAGTGAGTTTTTTTTCTTAGTTTTAGTTTTATTTTTGTAATTATTTCCTTCAACTGAGAGGCAGAACAGAAAAGGCTCAAACTTCATTTTTTTAAAACAATTTTTTTTTAGTTGTTGATGAATCTTTATTTTATTCCTTTATTTATATGTGGAGCTGAGAATCGAATCCAGTGCCTCACACATGCTAGGCAAGCACTCTGAGCACAACCTCAGCCCACTACAAGTCATTTTAATAACAGGATAGGAATTGAGGGCAGAAAACAAAGTGGTTTTAAATGTGGATTCTAGTGTCAGGCTGCTTAGTTTCCAATTTTCTGAGTAACAGAAAACTTGATTTTGTGCAAGTTACTTAGCCTTTCTAGGCCTGTTTCTTCATCTATAAAATGCAGATAATAAAATATAAAACTCACAGGATTGTTATGAGAATTAAGAGAGTTAATACCTTACTGTCTAGCATTTGAAGCAATACTTGACATGTTGTTAACTATTATTTACAGATAAGGAAACTTTAAGACCAGAACACACAAGTAACATCCCAGGTCACATTGCTAATTACTTAATTACTTACTTACTTAATTAATTGCTAATTACTTAACTGCAGGGACTGGTACCCAAGTCTCTTAGATCTCAAGATAATGAGCTTTCTACTACATAACATGCCTCTGATAGAGAACAAAGAGAAAGTTTTATTTTTCCTTAGCTAATATTTCAAAATCCACAAGTACCTGAAATCAAAGCCATCCTTTATATTTTCACCTATGGCTTTTATTTTATTGGTCAATTAGTTACATTCTGAGCACTGAGAGTATTTTGGTCTAGTTCACAGACTTTCGTCCCACTGTATACTAGCCTTAGTCCTGCATTATCTGTGCTTCATCTGATGATCCAGCACCACTGAATAGGTCTCAGCTATGTAGGAAGCAGGGAACCAGGACAGCATGGAACCAAAGGAAAGGAAAATAAAAAAACAAGAAACTGTGGGAGGTCAAGGAATCAGTGACCATAAAATAGATTTCCTTCCTTGGGGTAACAGACTTGAAAACAATTTCCAAAAGCAAAGCTCCAAAAATATTTTGAGGAAAGTGATTTTTTTTTTTGAAGAATAAGGGAAATTTAAGTGCACTAATTATGGTGTACATGGGAAAAGTAACAGTTTCAAAACTTTAAATACTTTACATTTTTGTAGAGTTGAGCAGTAAAGAGAAAGACAACTGAAGATGAAAAAGTAAATGTCCTTACAGTAGTTATAATTCATTACTCTGATATGATGTATATAATTTACAATCAATATGAGCATCCAAGAAGTCTTTTCATAAAAATGAGGCTATGTACTTTTGAATTTAGCCATCATAAGTTAATCAAAGCTTAGAGGACTGTATTTTGTTTTCTATTATTGGGAAATGAGATCAAAGGATAAAAAAACGATGCAAGTAACATTAAAGCACAAAATAAAGTGCTTGACTGTGCTGCTGATACATTCCAAAAAAGAAAATGACATATTGCTTGCTTCTGAATACAGAAAATACCAAAGCAAATTTACAAGACTTTGATAGATCAATGACTTTTTGAAATAGAGCAAATCAAAATATAAACTGGTTCTTGTACTCCAAAAGTTTCCTTAACACATGCTAACAATCTACTCAAAAGAAAGACTTCTGAATTCTGTTTCTATGAACAGAGATCTTTCTTTACCTTTTTTGTTACAGTATAAATGATGCAGATATAAAAAATAAAATATGGGCTTTGAAGATGTGACCATAATAATGGAGAGTCATTACAATTTTTTGCAATTAGTTGTTGCCTCATTTAATAGGTTTTAGAAAGCTTTATTCTGTATCATGCATAGCTAACTTATTTAGAATTGATGAAAGGGGGTGCTAATTATCCTTTCTGTAAGAGACTGAACATTAAGATTTAGACAAGGACTTTAATTTTCTATTGCTTGACTCAAAATACTTTATACCTAACTATAACTTGGTGTAATGATAATGACTGTTTGCATTTCTTTAATTCACAAGAGAAAAATAATTTTGGGATGTGGATGTGGATCAGTGGTAGAGCGCTTGCCTAACATGTGTAAGGCACTGGGTTTGATCCCTGGCACCACAAAAATAAATAAATTAATAAAACAAATAAAGTAAAGGTATTTGTCCATCTACAATTTAAAAAATATTAAAAAAATAATATTATTGCATTATTTTAGGAATGATTTCTTCAAGAAAATGTGTTTCTCTTCTCTTTTTTCTAAGGAGAATGAGTGAAACTAATGGGACTTAATATGAACTGACAACACTGAAGCATTGAAACCTGACTCCTAAATTTTAAATTTCTTTAGAAAAAAAGATATCCAAAGTAATTTTGTATCTTTCATTTTTCCATTTGTTCTTTTTGGTCAATGGAAAAAACACCAGTACCTAATCCACACTGAATGTAAGGGGAAGGATAATATAGGATTCTCAAAGTAGGAATATCATTAGCATCACCAAAATAAAGATTTAAACTATTATGAGCAATCATCAATCTACAACCAATGACCTCTCTCTGCTTTTTATACAACCAATCATACTTTAATTGAAAAAGAAAAGGAAACAGAATCACAAAGATTTAGTTTGGGTAATGAAGTAAGATTAATGGTAATGAAGAAATTAAAATTCATAACCTCAGAATGTTTTCTCTTTGAATCATAAGAAATAGGTCCAATGATATTAATTTACTATGGACGAGAGACGTGAGAACAAGTAAACTAAGAGAATAGTAAAGGTACTTTCGATATAATCATTCTACAGAACATTATTGTTCAACAACAATATCAATAATATTCATATGAACTGTTACAAAAAAGATTAAATACCCTTTTTAGTTTTTCATTCTCTTCCATGAATCTTTTGGCAGCCTTATTAGTATTTTCTGCTTGACTTTTAAGCATTTCTTTGTTTGAGAGTTCTTTTGCCAGCTGAGTTATAAGTGTAACCAGACGTCTCAACACTCTGAGGAAAAAAAAAATCATAATAATGCATCACTAGATCAATCAGTAACTGTGACTTTAAATCAAAGAGCCATTATCAAATGATTCCCTATAAGGTACACAGGTGTGGGTGGTGGAGAAAGTGATGTTTAAATGGAATATATATATATATATATATATATATTTATAATGTATGTATATAAGTACATATATATTTAATCCAAGTCTCTTAGTTAAAACAAGCCTGTGTCTTATTCCTTTGAAATCTCTGTTAGAAGACTAGCATTTAGAATAGTTTCAGTGGTACTTTTTTCTCTTATTTTGTTTTGCAGTGCTGGAGACAGAACCTAGGGCCTTGCGCATACAGTGATACTTTTCAAATTATTTTCTAGTACAGCTCTTTAGCATGAATATCAGACAGTAAGGCCAAAATGAAAACCCATTTTTTTCTGACCAGTTCAAAAAATGGTATTTAAAGGCATTGTATACATTTGACGGAGCCTAAAAACTGCTCATTCACATCTGTTCATGGTAACTTCCATTGTTAGAAATTATAATTGATCTCTTCAATTATTCATTCAGTGATGTTTACTGAGGAACTGCTAAGTATTAAACACTATGCTAGGCACTTGGGACACAGCAGAAAATGAATTAAGTCCCTGCCTTCAAAGAGTTTAGGTTCTAGTTGGAGGACCAAAACAGTATTTAATTACAATTGTAAATGATACTAGGAACAAAAGTATATACATGTAAGAGAGAATATAACAGAAGACCTACCTACTTTTTGGGGGACTGATGGCCACAGAGGGCTTCTCTGAGAAAGTCTAAAGAATGAGCAAGGGAAAGGAAAACAGGGAAAGGAAAGGGTGTTCTGGTAGAAGAAATAGCTTGTGTGAAGACACTAACATGGAAAGGAGCTGGCTACACCACAACTCATTTGTTCTAAGAAAGAGTGAATAGTGAAGGTGAGTGTGGCTGGAATGTATGGTAAGTATTAGAAAAGAGTACAAAGAAAGGCTAGACAGAGAGAGACAGGGGCCAGATCAAGCAAGGTCCTATGGAATTAGCAAACCTATAAACAGTAACAATTACTTGCCATTTGGTCATTTCACCTGAGTTCCTTTATGAAGATATTAGTAAAAAAAAGTCTTCACATATGTGGAAAAAGTGAGAGAGAGAAAGAAACCTAAACAATGTGTTAAAATTGTGATTCAACTTTTTTTTTTTTTACTTACAGCCAAAAAAATAATGAAAATCCAGAAATGTAAAGATTTCTTTGAGACCTAAAAAGTTTCATCTGTGTATGTTCATAGGCACCAAGTTTGCTAGTTGAGCTCTTGTCAATGGTATGAATAGAGGCATATTTCCTTACTTCTCTCACAGCATCTATTATAGTAAAAGAGAAAATACTTTGTTTTTAAGAATATAAAATCATTAAAGAAAGAGAAGCAGTTTTAGAGTAACTGATCAAACTTTTTAATAATTGACTTTATGTAGGGGGCTCTCTTTCCTTTTTTAGCACCTGGAGGGTAAGTAAGTAGTGATTGTGATAGATTAGACATTATAGAAATGTCTGTTTAGTTCCTTCATCCATTTTTGAATTGGGTTATCTGGCTTTTCATTTGTCCCCAAGATGTCTTTTGTAGATTTTTTTTTCAAGCTGAGAATTACATAATGGACATTCGTCAGATGATTACATCTCTGTAGTTTTTGGATATATAATACTTAAATTGGGTAACTGATTGGATCAGTTCAATAATTTTGGTAGGTTACCATAGCATTAAAAAAAAAAATCCAGCATGGACTTGCTGGAACTTCCAGCTGCCAGCATGGACTGTCATTGGTCATTGTATTGTCTTTCTAGCTATACTACAAACTTTTACCTTTTACTCTATCCTTAAGAATGACTAAAATTTCACCTATTGACAGTAATTTAATGCAATATACCATTACCATCAACTCCAAGAGATGATCCTATTTTTCTTATAGTATTAGCATTTTTTGTAGCTACTATTACTTTAAATAACTACAATTTTAGAAATATTTAACAGGTTTGTTAAAATGGGATTTGATCTATGGTGGCATATACTATATATCTATATGGTGGCATATACTTCCCTGACTAACAATTGGATTACACCTATTATTGGAAATTTTCAAATAGCTGTTCCTTTGATTTTTTCAGTTCTGACAGGTCTCAGTTCCAGGTGAACTATTTCTTTCTAGTGCAAAATAGATACCAGCACATATGTTTAGTGCATTGTAAAATTAGAATTTCATAGTTAGTTATTCTTAATCACTGGATTCTTTCATGTTCTAGAGAAGGCAACCATCTTAAATGTTTTAAAGCCAAAAGAGGTACAACAAGTTCGAATGCTCCCTTCATGTGACCATTAGCATTCCTGGGGAAGTTTTTGCCACATGAGAAAAGAGATTCCAGTTAGAAAATTGAGGCCACTTTGACAATCATTTGAATTTATTTTTTATAACACTTTGAGACAAAATTCACAGTCTGTTTGAACTCAGTTACTTCTAAAAAACATGGTGATTATGAAGACTTACAGAATTTGTTTTGATTAAAAACTTTAAAGCCCTTTTAACTTCTAAAATAAAAATTTCAAACTTGCTGAAAACTATCACCAGTTAGAGTGTTCTTAATCTGAAATGCTTATATTCAGAAGTATTTGGGATTTACTCATTTTAAATATTTGCATGTACATGTTAAGATATTTTAAAGTCACATGAGATTCATTTAATTTTTATACAAACCTTATGCACATAGCCTGAAGCCAATTACATACAATTTGCTTGGGTTTTAAAATTATTTCTAATAGGCACATTATAAAGATACATACTAGTGGGATTTGTTATATCTCTCTATATATGCATATAATTTGATCAATCTCAGTCCTCACCACCTTCCCTTTTCTTTCCTCCCTCAATTTGCTTGCTGTACTGATCTCCCTTCTATTATTATAATGTATTATAGTGTATTATAATCATATACATAAGTGGGATTCATTGTAACAGCAAATCCCATTATTATGCACAACTGTAGTGGACCAATAAAAATTGTGGCAAAAAATCAATATCTATCAATATATATATAAATTCAACTACATGCCAATATCAACATCAACATAACTAAAAATCAAGAAATTCATTAAAAAACAACTAGAGTTATGTTTATTCAAAGGAGGGATCAGTACTAGTACTTACCTAGAAACAGAACAATCAATAGGATTATAATGGTAAGAAAAGCCTTGTTCCAAAAAGTTGCAATTTTACCCCAAACATTAAATGAAAAAATCTTCTGCCATCTGCAAAGCAATATAATTACATTAGGTATATATATATATATATATATATATATATATATATTTTTTAAAAGGCGGTTTTGAAATACTTTCTAAATAAGTAACATTTTTGTGGTAGTGTGACAAGTAAAAACAAATAGAGGGCTGGGATTGTGGCACAGTGGTACAGTGCTTGCCTAATGTGTGAGGCACTGGGTTCAATCCTCACCACTGCATAGAAATAAATAAATAAAATCAAGGTCCATCAACTGAGTCCAAGGGATACAAATAAAGATAGAAAAAAAGAAATAGAGAAATTTAATATTCATGAAATAGAGAACTCTCTCAAATTTAATAATAATCTGACATTTGATTATCTTCTGTCTGGCAGCTTAAAAAAAAAAAAAGGCTTTGTTTTTTGGATACAGTAATGCAGTGTTGCCCAGGCTGTCTCTAAAATTGAGATCATCTTGCTTCATCCTCCTGAGCAGCTGGGATTATAGGTGTGTACCACCACACCCAATTAAAAAAAGGAATTCTTAACAGTAAAATGTTGTATTGTTGATCAAAGCTATTTATATCATCTTTTCTAGTCAGAGTGATGACTCAGAAATGACAAAAGTCTATTGGTCCAAAAATTAGCACCATTTCAGGAGTAAGAAGTTTCTCTGTATATTTATTTTTATATAATATACTTTTAATATCTACTCCAAATAAAGATGTTTCTCTATTTTAATCATGAGAATTAAAAAATTGAGGTACTAAATATATAAAAAAGTGAAAAAAATCTTATATAGCTTGATAAATTTTTACGTATGTTTATATCTATGTAATTTACCTACTACCCAGATCAAGATCTGAACACAGAGGAATGAGATGAGGGAAACAGTCTAGGTGGAATAGGCAGTAGAAGTAAACACAAGCGTTAAGAAGGAATGAGCAATAAATGGCAAAGAGTGACAAAATGATCCATCTTATAATTTGAAAGGTAACAAACTTTGTATAAGAGGATTTTAAATTAAAAAACACATTAACTGAGTCCAAAGGAGACAAATAAAGGTAGGAAGCATTAACTACATTTCAAGCAACTTATAATCTTTAAAAATAATTTTAATTTAAGATTACGACAAATTATTCACTGGTAAAATTTGTAAACAACTCTAAATATTAATGACTTGAAGTTGATGGGAAAAGGGATTGATAACAGATGGAACATTTTTTGCCTCTATACTTTCTTTTTATTTAATTTTTTATTTGTTCTAAATTAGTTCTAAGAATATACTTCTATACTTATTTCTATACTTAGAATTAAGTATTTTTATACAGGTGCTATTCAAATTCTATATTACAAAACTTTTATTTTATATTACAAAACTCTTTTAAAACAAGAACATAAGTGGTAATACCTTGATCTATGTCCAAATGTAAATTCACTTAACCTCATTTCAAAGGTCAATACAAGAGGGAATGGAAGTGACTCTCTATAGGGAACAACCAGCAATTAATAGGAAGACTCAATTCAAGAGCACCTAAACCTTGCTATATTATTGGTTCTAAGCAATCCTACACAGCTATCCTACTTAATTAATACAATTACCATATGAGGCATTATCACTTCAGGAGTAAGAGGTCTTATTATATAATATACTTTTATATAATATAATTGATAGACCCAACCTGATCTTTTCTTAAAATTGGGCATCTCCCCACAAAACCATGAAAAGATAATTTCGGCTTTACTATAAATTACTGCAAATTCTGAACCTGCTTGGAATGCCTGCCTGTGCCTTGAACTCACCCATGCCTGGCTCTCTGACCAGATAGCAGCCCTCTCTGAAACTTAGTGACACCTCATAAATATTTGCCTTCCCTGGCCAGACAACGACCCTCTCTGAGGCTCTAATGGTCCTCATAAATTCTGATGTTGGGGCCAGCAAAAAATGCAAACTACCATTAGTGTGATGCTTGTCAGAGTTCTGTTATCTGTAACCCCCCTTTGTGTAACTTTCTGGGCTATAAAGCTGGGCTTCAGGAAAGCTGGGGTGCTGTCTTGTTCCCGCCGTTTTGGGAGGGAGAGGCAGCCCGGCCGGTCGAAATAATAAGCTTGCTTTAATTTGATTTTAATTGGAGTTAGTGGTCTTTTCTTGCATCCTGGTCTAACAATAATATTATATAATAGACAGTACTATTTCCATTTTATAGAAGGGGAAACTAGCTGGAGAGAGTCAATAACTTGCCCAATGTCACACAGTTAATAAATAATACCAGAGAACTGGGATACATACCCAGGGAGTTATTTTGAGCCTGTGCCTTTTATGACTGGGTTATATGAGAAAAGACCAAAACTTTTTTGTTGAAGATTATGAAGATACACATATAAAAGGTCAAAAGATGTGTATACACAAAGAAAAGGGACATAGTATAAGTTATTTGTGTGTAAATATGCCATATTTTCTTATGTGTATTTGTACATGAGAATATTTATATATCATGTGCCCAAACACCCACATCAATGTAACAGCTATTTGATCCTGATGGATATAAAAAATATTTGGAAGAAAGAAAAAGGCTGATCTCCAATTATGAATCACTTTGATGGAGAAAGATCAACTGAAGCAGCACTGTTTTTTTTTTTCTTTGCAAATCTTCAAGCCTTACTTGTATATTGGATGTTCCCAAACAAGATCTTTCTCTTGTATATATAAATGAAGCAAAGTTTGAATATATAGGAGTCCATTGATGCAAATACTAACAAAAATCAAAAGAGGCATTATGGAGGGTTTAAAATGAGAGGCAGTATGATGAAGCAGCAGCACTGGACTGAAAGCAAGATTCTTGTTTGGAATTTGCTGCTGACCACGTAGGTGATCTTGGTTAGGCCATTTGCCTTCTCTGGGTCTCAGTATGTGATCTAAGGAATGAGCTGGGTTGGATGAGATAACTGAAGATTCCCTCCCCACTTACAATATGATTTTTTTCTTTAGTAAGGAAAAAAAAACCATCAATAACAAAACAACAATGATATAGTTGATAGGCAAAGACAGAAGTGAGTTGAACCACGTAGATAATGAGCAAGTAAAGAGTTGTGAAAGACTACCTAGACCTCGAGCCATGGTAAAACTTTCTAAAGTTTCATCGAGTCCCATTATTTTACTACAGTGTAGTTTAAGAAGATATTTCTAGGATCTCACTTATGAAATATTTTCTTGTAAGTCATGAGTATAAACAAATATCTTGTAACATTTTATTACAAATCTGTTTTACTATCCATACCATCAAGTTCCTGGATCTAAAACTAACCCCCTAATGAGTAGATTATTAAAGGTAAAGTGTGTTAACGTTTGGGTTGAAATTTCTGTTCTTAAAGATCTTAAAAGGTCCTTTACTAAAGAAATAATGTTAATACATTGTCTGATAGCTTTCACATTTGGCCCTTTTAATACATTGAGTGGAATAAAAAGTAATAAAATGCCATCATTTTACATAGTTTACATAAGGCCAAAACTAAAGAACTTACAGGCTTTGGTTTCTAAATTGCCATTCCACTGCCTCAATTTAACATTTTTTAAAATACATGCTGTATTGTAAATATAATTTTTTTATTCCACTGCTTCAATTCAGGGCAATAAAACAAAGGTAAAACCTCATGACAAGACAGGGCAAGTATCAAAAGTATGTAATCAACAGAATCAGAAGTACTCGCACTCAGCTTCTTTCCTTTGAGAAGGGAGGAAAAAATTATCATTTGTACACATAATAAAGTTTTATAAATTTTAAATAGATATTGTCATGAAACAGTTCTAATCTGTTAAGTAAGTTTTTAAAAGAATACTCTTTGCACAGCGGGCTCTGAAAACTTTTCAATCTTAAGAAAACCTTTCCGTATCACACTGCAGCCTAAAGGAGCTAATCCAATATTTAGTATTTTTAAGATTTGAAAGTTTCCTACCTCTGAGGAGGAATAAAAGGTAGACAGAAGAGTAAAATGAGTCCTATTTCGGCATAAAGAAAGGTTGCAACTGCCACCCATTGGATTGTCATTTTTTTCTTTACACCTGAACGGAGAAACATTTATTTTACTTTACTTCATTTGAAAGAAAACTGGGCTGAAGGCCCCGGGGCACACTGCTACGTCAAAGGCCTGTACCGAGGCCCCGCACACACCTCGGAATGGACCGGACTAGACCGGACGAGACCCGGCCCGGGCGTGTCCACCTCCTTGGCGGGCCGCGCGGAACCCTAGAGGCGGCCACAGGGCGCCAATGACTTCCTCTTTGGCCGGCCGCTGCACCAACAGCCCAACGCCTCCCTCCTCTAATGCTTTGTGGCCCTCCCGCCCTCCGAAAGCCGCGGGCCAGCCGGCTCCGCTGGGTTTTTCAGCCCACAGCCTCGCAGCCCGCGGGTGTTACTCGGCCTTACCGCGCTGCGGCCCGTCTGGCTCTCCGCGCAGCTCCGCCGCCCCGACGCGCGGGACGTCAGACGCCGCGACGGGGAGGGGGAGGGGGAAGGGAGAGAAGTGGGGGGCAGGGAAGGGGGAGTGGGAAGCGGCTGGCGAACCGGCTTCCCCCTGCCTTAGGCTGTCGTCCTGCTAAGGTCACCGGCGGCGAGGCCACGTTTGTTGGTAATAATTGTTTCCTAATTGGCGATGGAGTCTAAGACGACTCAGGCTCGGGGCTCGCAAATGCAACTTCTTCCGGAGGGCGGGCTCGCGTTTCTCCAGCGCGCCACCGTTTCTGGAGGAGCGGCGAAGGCCCAGATCTGGAAACCACTAAAGTGGGCTGCGCAAACCCAGTGTCTGCGGCGAACTCTTTTCCAGTTGGGGCTCTCTCGGAGGTTAAAACTTTCAAGTGTCCAGAATTAAACTGTACAAGGGCCAAGACTGGGTGGTCGTGCAGCATTGTTTTTGAAACCACAGGAGAATCTGTAGCATTACAACATATTCTGTCCGTTTTCCCGGTTCTTTTCCATGGTCTAGGAAAAGGCAATACCCTTTGAGGTGTTCTTTGGGGACCCAGAAAAGGTGGCCGTATTTATTCACTATACATTTCCCAGGTTTTCAAGTTGCCTGAAAAACATTCGAGTTATATAAGATTTTTTTTTTTTGTATTGACAACGTATCAGGAATATAAAGTATCACTTCTCGGAGACAGTTATTTTGGGACCATTAAACAAATGTTGAGAATAATTACACAATGTACAAACACATTTAAGTCGGTGCTTCTCCTTAATTACATATAGACTTGACCATATATAAACAGGAAGAAGTGGGGGGGGGGAGGACTTTGAACACAAATTAACCATAAGGAAATTATTTTTAACCCAATACCTGACTCTTGGAACACTGGTACCTTCCCTATGCTGTGCATCTTAACTCTAGTGGTGCTGCTGTGCTTACATTAGTGTAATTCACTCCAAAGTTAATTTACCGACATCAAAATGTTATATATCTCCCTGTTTGCTAATATATTATTTCTATTCTATCTATTAAAATTTCAGTAACTGAGAAGTGAAAGCACAGAAGAAAAAATGTGGCAGTTTAGTGTTCATGTTCAAATTGATTCATTTAATATTCCCAAACTTGAATTAATGAATAAACAGGTTTAGAGAACTCCTTAATTTTTGTGTTGGGCATAAAGAATATTTGAGGTATAAATTATTTTCACTGAAATACTTCTGTAGCTCACATCAACCAATAACAAAATCTATTAGTAACACTCTCAAACCATGGGAATTTAAATTGCAATTATCAATTACAGAGAGGCATAAAAATAATGTCACTAATAACAAAATATGAAAAGTTGTTTTAAAATTAAAATCTGGCTACTATTCTCTACTGAATAGTAGAGAAATATATCATTTCTCTGGATAAATACTATTTGGAGATATGTAATCATTAGCTACCAATTTTTTTTTTTTTATAGTTAAGATGTGAGGGGACACAATTACTCTTTATTTTTTTAGATTCAGGTGTGTTTATCGAATTTGCAATCTTCTAAGGATCTAGAAGGCTTAAAATGCACAAAGTCTAATATTAAAGAATTCCATGAAATCTAGGCAAAGGAACTGGACAGGCACTTCACAGAACAAAAAATACGATCAGTCAACAAATATATGAAATAATGTTCAACCTCTAGCAATTAGAGAAATACAAATTAAAACTACACTGAGATTTCATCTCACTTCAATCAGAATGGCAATTATCAAGAATACAAGTAACAAAAAATGTTGGCAAGGATGTAGGGAAAAAGGTACACTCACATATTGCTGGTGGGACTGAAAATTGGTGCAACCAATCTGGAAAGCAGTATGGAGATTTCCTCAGAAAACTTGGAATGGAACCACCATTTGACCCAGCTATCCCACTTCTCAGTATAAATCCCAAAAGACTTAAAATCAGCATATTACTGTGAAGCTGCCACATCAATGTTTATAGAAGCTCAATTCACAATAGCTAAGCTATGGAACCAGCTTAGGTGCCCTTCAACAAATGAATGGATTAAAGAAAATGTGGTGTATATACACGATGGAATATTACTCAGCCATAAAGAGAAATGAAATTATGACATTTGCCAGTAAATGGAATTGGAGACTATTATGCCAAGTGAAATAAGAGAATCTCAAAAAAACCCAAAGGTCGAATGTTCTGATATGTATCCACATAAATAACAATGAGGTAGGGGGGAAGAAGGGAAGAATAAAAGTACTTTGGATTAGACAAAGGGAAATGAAGGGAGGGGGAATGAGAAAAGGAAAGCTAGTAGAATGAATCGGACATTACCTTCCAAAGTTCACATCTGACTACACGATCAATTTAATTCCATATCATATACAACCAGAAGAACGGAAGTTGTATGCTACATATGTATATCAAAATACATTCTACTGTCATGTATAGCTAAAAATAAAAAATTAGAATTCCATGCAATCTTAGTTCTAAATTCCAGATAACATATCTAATAAATTTTTGTTATGTACAATTTAAAACAAATATCTTGAGGTGTAAAATTCAATTAGGAAGTGTACCAGTTTGACATTCCAATTTAAAGTTTTAATGTTAAGCCCTGAGAATAATTCTATTTAAGAGTTTCTTGTTCATTTTATATGATGTTAGCTTTTATTCTACCAGAACTCTGCACTTACTTTTATTAAAAATGTACTTCTTGTTAAGGTACAGATATTATATAAGTCATACCTTGTTAGTATTAAAATAAAAAGTTTTTATTTAAAAATGTTAAAAACATTTCCTTTAGAGAAACCCTCCTCCTCCAACCATAACAAGATTCTAAACAGTTTGTCCGTGTTTGGACCTAGAGCCACTGATTTAAAGTAAAAACAAAGATGCAACCTTATATTTTATAAAGTATAAAACAGAGTATATATTAATATAATTTAGGAAGTCCAGTCAAATGCCATAATGCTCTGTAAGGTAATCTAAGACTGCTGATGCGCTTGACAGTGCATTAAATACTCTTCTTTCCTGCTTTGAAGTTATCTTTTCCATCATGTACATTAAATGTTGATGGAAACACATGTAAGGAGTTCCAAGTTCAAGAGCGATGTCAACCCAGTCCCAGATGCATTTCAATGGGGTTTCCTCATATCCAGCAAACATGGCTGGGTTTGCTAAGAGTCCTCTTGCAACCATCACACCTACAAATTAAAGCAGACCATGTTTGTCCATACCTTAAGCGCCCATGATTATTAGTTCAAACTCAATGAAACAAACGTAGAATATTAAAAAACAAGTTATGACTAAAGATTTTCACAATGCTCTATTTACATTAGTCTGTTTAATTCAATAATTTAAAATATTTTAGTACCTTTTGAAAATGAATGAAATTAAATGTATTTAAGTTCTTCATTTTTTAAGGCTTCTACATTACAAAATTAGTTTTTAATTTTTCTTTAGGGTAAACCCACAGTGTCATAAATCAGAAGGTTTTCAGTTAAAGTTTATCTGCATTCTCCCCTATAGTAAATTATTACAGTGCTTGGCTTGGTATACCAATAATTTAAAGGATAATGAAACCACATAGGGTTCCTTTGGCTTCTCTGATTACTCCTGAGTTTATTAACTCCATTCTATTCCAGATGCTTTTTTTTTTTTTTAAATAATAGGTTATTGGGAAAATTCCTAATTAGTCACTAGATATGATGGTGGAAGACAAGTAACTTAATTTATCCCCATTAAAATAATATAGTTTCTAAGCAGGAGAATGAATAGCATTTTAATAGACTGCTTAGCTTAAATCGGTATGATGGGAAAATGCAGCCCAATATTAAAAGAAAATAATGAAAATCAAATTAACATTACTACCTTATTCTTTTTTTTTCCCAATTAAAAGATAAACAAAGCACTTTTTTCTTACCGTCTGTCCCAGTAATCTGCCACACATTTTCAGCCTCTTTTAAACTCCTGATATCTCCGTTAGCAATTACAGGTATAGACATATTTTCCTTTATTATTTTAATGGCATCATAGTGGACTGGCTGATGTCTTTCTTCAACAGTTCTTCCATGGACTGTAATCCAGGAAACTCCAGTTGCTTCAGCCTTTCGACAAAGATCTACGGTTCTGGTAAGGTCATCATGGATCCTATAATTTCAAAATTATACCTATCTGTTCATATCAAACAAATCTTAATACTAAAATTCACTAAAAAAATGGTATTTTATATACTACACTGTTTAGTTATGTTATCATGTCATGCCACTATCAGGAAGGATCTTTTCAGGGATTATTCCCAGCCAAGACCTCAAATTTATTTACTTTGCCATTGGCAACAACAGGACAACAAATGAGTTTTATCTTACCTATTGCTTCTCCCTTTTGGCTTTGATAATGAAAAAGTTATCAAAATACTAAGATAGATGAAGTGAAAGATGCTATGTTAACCCACTAAGTCCAAAGTTTTCAATTTTATATAGGACTGTGGAACATAATGGGTCAAGATTTGATATGAATGCCCCAATCAACAAGTGGAAGAACATACTACTTTATCTGTTAAATATGTTTTTAACTTTTCACCAAAAACACATTACTATAGTTTATTTTTATTGTAATATTTTAGTGCAAATATCTTTTCATTTTTATTCTTGGTGCTAGGAATATTTCTTTAGTGTTAATTAAAGAAAACTTGGAAAAAGTTGAGGGAATGGTGAAATCTTTTAATAAAGGGAGGTTTAATTTTTGTTAAAAAAAAGGTGTTCAGGATTATAAACAGAAGGGTATATATTTGTTTACTAAATGTATTGTTTCAAAAATTCCTAAACCAACTACCAATTTATTTAGGACAGATACTCCCAAATCACCAAACAAAAGAAATATTCTTTTAATTCTTAATCATTAGATTATTTTGTCAACAGACTAAAATATTGACTTTACCTTATTTTAATAGAAACTGAAAATTTGGGGTTTTCCACTTGATTTCTTACTTGTTTCACCATATCTCGAACAAGCTCTGGCTTATTTATTAAGCAAGCTCCGTAACCTTCTGCCATTGCCCACCTTCGTAAAACAAACAGAATAACAAATGAATTACAAACAGGTGGAAGAGAAGTTAAAAATTTAAAAAGCACTGAAATGTAAATGTATTTGTATATTTCTTTATTTAGTGATCTGAAATGAATCAGATTTTAAAAACTCATAGATCAATAAGATTAGGAAAACAACCTATGGGAAAAAAAATATAATGATAAGGAAAACATGTTCCCAGATCAAAACCAAACCAAACAACTCCAGGGAAATAGTTTCTGTTGGCAGATCAGAATACTAAATTAGAATTAGTTCAACCAAAACAGATTAAAATATTTGTAATTAACTGCAATTACTTCAGATATTTTAAATACCAAATTTGATGCTTATTGTACATAACAAGAGGTTTTATTAACTTTCAAAATTTTTGGCTTCTTTAACTCTTCTAATGAGTATACAATACATCTAATCTGGTTTGGATTATGATGTACTTAAAAACTTGATTTAATTATTTGGATGCATTTTGAATTGACAGATAAGCTAGTACAGTAGGGATACTGTTGGCAAGTTAAGTACAGCTTACTCAAATCCAGTTACTTAAACCCAACCAAATAACTCTGGCATGAGAAAGGAAAAAAAAAAAAAAGAAAAGAATGATTATAATAAGGTATTTTTTTAAGGAAAATAAGAAGAAAATAGGCAGTTTCTATCAAATCATAGAAACACTTTTTAGAGCAAGAATATATATCACACGATAGTAAAATACATTTTAGGGATTATTGTAGCCGCTACATTTCTCATATAATTTTGGATAAGGTTCAAGCAGATCTACACAAAAATGTTATTGATAAGGGGAGACAAAATACTTTTCAAGGGTCTACACATCATTTCAGTCATCAGATAGATCTTTGAATTTATGTTCCTAAATATTTTTTCCTTCCTTCTTTTGTAGAATCCTGGTAGTTTAATTCTATGTTCTTACTTTTTAATTTTTGGAAAACTAGAAAGAAATTTTACCATGTTCATAAAGTTTTTTCTAATCTTTTTGAAAACTCTTCCAACTTCTTTGAGCTTTACCTCTGAGGGCAACCACAGTTAATGTCTATTCCATTCGCATAAGGACAGACTATACGAGCAGCATCAGATAAAAGTCTGGCATCGTTGGCAGCAAACTGAACAATCAATGGGCAATCACCTGATAAAACGAATAGCTCAACATTAAAATCCATAGGAAAAAACCAAACACACACACACACACATACACACACAGGAAACTCTAATGTTTGTACAGGATAAAATAGCAATAAATATTTTTAGCACAAGGAACATCTATTCAAATAAGGTAATATTCAAAAAGATTTATTTAAAATTGAAATAAATTTACACAAATATTCAAACAGCACAAAATTAGATAAAATTAAAAGTATTCCAGTACTTTTTGATGAAAAGACCCACTTCCTAAATGTGGGAGTTAGTTTATTATATCTCAGCAATTTTATATGTAAACCTTTTATATGTAAACCAATCAATGTGAACAATTCCACATACGTTGCTATGCTACCACTCTACTTTTCTTGATCTGGGATATGTACTCAGATGTAATTTCTCTAATATTCCACTGTACAGATGAACCATACACAATTTAGATTGCTTCTTATTTGTGGCTCTTGCAAATACAGCTACAATACGGATAGTTTTGCATTTATGTTTTTTTGTGAAAATATTCATAGAATGGATAAATTACTAGATGTATAACTGCTGAATAGGCATTTAACATTGACAGATATTACAAAATTATCTTGCAAGAGTTTATCAGTACTGATACATAGCAATATGGTTCTTTCTTCACAACTTATCCTACAGTGCTTATCTTAACATTTGTATATCTTTGTGAGCTCTTTTCATGTTTGTAAATTTTTCTGTGTAATTCTATTAGTTATTCCTTTTTTACTATCATTTGTAATTTAAAAAATAAATTAGTTTTACTATTAATCAGAGTGTTTTTATTTTTCTAGTTCTTTATCTCTATTTGCATATTATATATAAAAGTTTAAATTTTAATGTAGCTAAAGATATCATAGCTTTCCTAGGTTTTAAAGACCATGATAAACTCTGAATAGATCTAAATTTTTCTGAGGACTACCAATATAAGATTCACTGGGTGTTTATAAAAATGCAGATTTCTGGACATCGCCATAGTTGTACTGATTCAAGATCTCTAGGGCAATCCACTGACTTGTAATTATGATGGGGTAGAATCTGCTTTTTTATTCATGTGGACATAGGGTGCTATTCCCTTTTCTACTTTGTTACAGAATTTCAACTTAACAACCATTTATTGGGCAAACAGATTTCACATTGTGTTAGTTCTTGAGGACAAACATCAAGCTATATTTATAGCTTGAGCCCTCAAAGAACCCACCATCTAGTGGGAAAGAGTAGCACAATTAATGAATATATTTTAAAAAGTAGGATTAAGTGCAATAAAAGGAGATAGGGCACAAGTGGAGAATGATTAGGAAAGATTCCCTGGCTACAAACTTTGAATACTGAATTAAGAATCATGAACTGTAATTTGCCTTAGGCTCCCAAGTCACTAACATTACAGGTGCAATATTCTAGGTAGGGAAGTGTGAGAGAACAAGGTATATATTCAGACACATAAAATAATGTAGTTTTTTTAAAAAAAATATTTTTAGTTGTAGATGGACACAATAACTTAAATTTTTTAATTTTTTTATGTGGTGCTGATGATTGAGCCTCATACATATTACACAAGTGCTCTACCAGTGAGTTACAACCCCAACCCTAATGTAGTATTTTTGAAGAATAAAGTTGTGGGCTAGGGGAAGAAACTAATGGAAGTTAAGGCTGCAGAAGATTTATTCACAGGCTAGTAGGTCATGAAGGACTTGGCATCTTATCCTCAGGTGCAGAAATTTTAGTCTTTAAGTCAAGGGTTCTCAAACTTTGGCAAGTTCAGAATTATTTGAACACTTTTCAAAATAGATTGCAGGACCACATACCCATAGTTTTTGATTCAGTAGGATTGGGGTGAAGCCTAAAAACTTTCATTACCTTTTTTTTTGAGACAAGATCTTACTGTTGTTCATGCTGTCAAATTGACACTTTCGATAGGTCACTTTGAGCAGTATGGAGATAGTTTGGAGTGGTACAACACTATAGACTGTAAGACAGAGATCTATTCTGATAGTCCAGGGGAGAGGCTGGACACCTGAAGAAAGGCTGACCATATATTTTGGTAGATCACCAATAACCTATAAAGCACTCTGTATTATATGTAAAATACTAAAGGCATTTAAAAATGAAAGGATTTTGGGGCTGGGATTGTGGCTTAGTGGTAGAGCACGTGCCTAGCATGTGCCAGGTCCTAGGTTCGATCCTCAGCACCATATAAAAATAAATAAAATAAAGGTATTGTGTCCAAATACAACTAAAAAAAAAAAAAAGAAAGGATTTTATCATATAAACTAAGATAGGTTTTGTCTGATTAGATAAGTAGCTGAGTTACAAACAAAATTTTTTTTGGTAAGTTTTACAAAGTAAACAAACTATGGGTTTCACATACCTTGGTTTGTGGTAAATTCACTGTCTCTGGCTTTTGTAGATCTGACAAAATCAGCGGCAACTATCATTGGTGTATAACACAGATCACAACAGTATTTTCTTACTAGTGTTCTAAAAGCCAACCTGTGAGCATATAAAACTTAAATTATGCATTTAGAAAACACCAATAATCATATCTATTTATAAGTTTAATTTAGTTGATTATTAAATATTTATTAGGGAGAGTTCTGTCCATGAGAAGACAGAATAGCTGTATTTTTTCCTATTCTTCCTACTCAATATAACTAAAAACCCTTTATATTATATGTAAAATAAACACAGGAAATTCTGAAAAGTTAAAAGAGGCTGCCAGGTTAAAATAAGAGGTGGTAAGCTCCTTCAGTTTTATAAACTCAAATACCCCAGCCTTGGGACTGAAGAAGCTGATCTGGAATCACCCACCAGTGGGTGCTGAATAGCCTGCAGAAGTCCGTCTAGTTAAAAGACTAGGAAAGGGGAAGCCAAGCATGACACAAAACTTTTTTATGGTAATGGTTCAAATTCAATCAAACATTATAGAAGAAAGCTATGGCCTCACCTCCACTAGAAAAGGTCAAACGGGGACTTCTACCCCCCTCCAATGTTGTAACAAGGTGCTCCAACATCCCACTGTGGTGGTGTTCAAGAGGACCTGGTAGGGATCTGAGACTTTCATCCCTATTGACCTGTGAGGGCCCCAATTTTAGTGGTAGTAGTGTAGACCACATGAGGAGCACAGACTTCCATGTTTACTCAGCAGTAATAAGGCACTCTCTTCCTTGGGTGTGTTGTCAGAGACCATGTGGAAAGCCAGGACTTTTAGTATTGCCCAGTAGTTATGAGGCCACCCCCACCAAAAGGAATTGGAACTCTCATGCCTTCCTACAGCAACAAGGAGGCCAAGAACCTAGACTTACTACTGACAGCAAGGAGATGATGCCCTTCTCCCCACCTTTCCCTGCTAGAGAAGGTTCAATATTCAAAATCCATCAGTATGAACTATCATATTAATATGCTAAAGAAAAAACACATAATTATGAGTTTAGCAGAAAAAGCATTTGACAAGATACACTTATTCATGATAAAAAAAATTCTCAGAAAAACAGAAATAGAGGGGAACTCCTTAACTTGAAAAAGAATATTCACAAAAAATTCGACAGAACACTTTCCTCCTAAATAGGAAAAAGGAATGGATGTCTGCTCTCATCACTCACATTCAACGTAGAGATGGAACTTCTAGATCAGTGCAATAAGGCATGGGAAAGAAATGAAAGAAATAAAACTAAATCTGTTTGTAGATGACACAGTTGTTTATATCATCCCAAGGAATTTACAAATAGCAAACAAAACAAACTCTCAGAATTAGGAAGAGGGCTCAAGAACTTTGTAGGATATAAGATCAACATACAAAAATTAATTGTATTTCTATATACTACTAGTAATGACCACATAGACACCAAAATTAAAAATACAATAATACCATAAACAACAACAACAACAACAAAAACTGGTGCTAAGTTTTCCAAAAGATGTACAGAACTTGTATGCTGAAAACCACACAATGCTGATGAAAGAAATCAGAGAAAATCTGTATCAATGAAGAGAAACATCGTTTTTATGGATTGTGACATTCAACATAGATAGGATGTCAATTCTCCTCAAATTGATATGTAGGTTTCATTCAATTCTTATGGAAATTCCACAAGATTTTTTTTTTTTTGTAAATACACAAAGATCATTCTAAAATTAAGTGGAAAGCAAAGCAACTAGAATCAGGAGGTTATCAGTCCCTTGATTCCAAAACTTGTTATATAGCTACAATAAATAATCCACATACTGTGGAAATGGTGAAGGGATAGACACATAAATCAATGAAACAAAATACAAAATACTGATTTTTTTTTTTTTTTTTTTTAGTGAAGTAGCAGAAGTAATTCAATCAAGTAAAAATAGACTTCTCAACAAATAGGGCTAGAGTAACTGGACATTTCTAGGCAAAAAAAAAAAAGAACTATCTAACTCTCACACTTACACTAAAATCAATACAATTGAATCATGATCTTAAACGTAAAGCATAAAATTATAAAAAACTTTTAGGAAAAAACTTTGGAGAAAATCTTCAGAATCTGGAGCTACACAAAGATACCTTACACTTGACACCAAAAGCAAAATTTATACAAGGAAAAACTGATAAAATGGACTTCATCATAATAAAAAACTTTTGCTTTGCAAAACACCCTGTAAAGAGAATAAACTATATAATCTGAGAAAATATTTGCAAGTCACATAGTTGACAAAGAAGTCATATCAAGACACCTCAACACTTAATAGTAAACAAAAATATAAACCCTGGGCTGGGATAGTGGCTCAGCGGTGGAGCACTCGCCTAGTATGGGCAGGGCCTGGGTTCCATCCTCAGCACCACATAAAAATAAAGGCATTGTGTTGTGTCCATCTACACCTAAAAAATAAATATTTAAAAAAATAAACCCTATTCAAAAATGGGCAAAATGTTGAATAGATATTTCTACAATAAAGATATACAATTGGCCAATAAGAAAAGATGCTCATGTCACTAACCTTATGGAAATGAAAATCAAAATTATGATGAGATCCACTTTACACCCAGTAGGATGGGACAGGATAAGTTTTGAAAATTCCAGAAAATGATGAGTTGGCAAGGGTGTGAAGAAATTAAGAACTCTTGTGTAATGCTGGTGAAAAGGTAACATGGTATGGCTTCTATGGAAAATAGTATGAAAGTTCCTCAAAAAGCATAACACAATTACCATGTGATCCAGCAATTCCACTTCTGATATATATATAGCCAAAAAGAATTGAGATATTTGTGCATCCATGTTCATAACAGCATTATTTGCAATAGCTAAAATATGGAAGCAATCCAACTGTACATCGATCAATGAATGGACAAAGAAAATGTAGCATTCACGAACAATTAGCCTTAAAGAAGGAGCTGGGCATGGTGACTCATGCCTGTAATCCCAGCAGCTCTAGAGGCTAAGGCTGGAGGACCTCAAGTTCAAAGCCAGCCTCAGCAAAATCGAGGTGCTAAACAACTCAGTGAGACCCTGTTTATAAATAAAATACAAAATAAGGCTGTGGATGTGGCTCAGTGGTCGAGTGTCCCAGAATTCAATCCCTGGTATCCTGCCACCCCCCCCTTGAAAAAAAAAAGAAAGGAAAAATCTGGTATATGTTACAATATGAATGGACATTGAAAATATGCTAAGTAAAAAAACTAGTCTCAACAACTATATGATTCCACCTACAGTACTTCAGATAAGTAGAATCATAAGAAAAAGTAGAGAAACAGTAGAATAATGGTTGCCAGGGTTTAGGTGGGGAGAGGAATGGAGTTATTGCTTAAGGGTTTTTTAAGACTAGAGAGTTTCAGAGATCAGATGCATGATATGGAACATAACAGTGCTGAACTTTACACATAAAAATTATAAAAAGATAAATATTATATGTATTTAATAATAATTTAAAAAACCACAAGAATAAAAGAGCAATATTACGATATGGGCAAAAAGCATTAAGAAACATTTCCTCAAAACTATACAGTTGCCAAATAAGCACATGGAAAGAAGTTTAACATCACATACAGGACATGTAGAAATTAGAAACACAATGAGGTATCACTATATACCGTTAAAACAGTTAAGAACAAAAAACCAAAACACTGCTATTATCAAAAGTAGGTTAGAATGAGGAGAAACTGGATTTCTCATATAGTGCTAGGTAGAAGGGTCAAATAGTATTGCTACTCTAGAAAAGTTTGGCAGTTTTTTCAAAAACTAAACATCTTATGATCCAGCAATTACATTCTTATACATTTGTCTCAAGACACATATTCAAACAAAAACCTGTGCATAAATGTTTATATCCATTTAATATCTACTATACCTTATAGATGGGAGTTATAAATGCCACCATTTATAAAAACATAAAATGTGACACTTGCAGAGATGATTTGCTCAGGCATGTGCACACACACATATACTAGGCACCAGGACTCATTTCTAGATCATGATTCCAAAACTAGGAATTGAAGAGTCCATATAGTGGTCTTACAGTACTTAAAAAAGGCAGAACGAAAAAGGGAAATTATGCCTCAGTTCATTAACATTTAACAACACTTACTTTGAATATCGAACCATTGGGGCACAGATTTTCACCAGCTGCCCAGAATGAAACATTTCTATTGGATCTTTTTTTCTTTCTTGACATATTGTGGTTTGTATGGAGTCACACTTCATGAATATAGATTTATTTCAAATCTGAAAAAGACAATCCATTTGCACTTGGAATATCCTTTCTCTAGGTGAATTCTCATCATTCTAAATTTCAATTGCCAATGATATTTATTTTTCATTAGGATTGTGGGATCAGAATTTGTTTTAGCTTCTTTTCATATTATTAAATAGATTATCTCTTTCTCTCTCTCTCTCTCTCTCTCTCACACACACACACACACACACACACAATGGGATATTACTCATCCATAAAGAAGAATGAAATTATGGCATTTGTTGGTAAATGGATGGAACTGAAGATGACCATGCTAAATGAACTAAGCCAATCTCCCAAAATCAAAGGTTGAACCTTCTCTCTGATATGCAAAGGCTAACACACAATAAGGTGGTGGTGGTAGGGAAACAAGTTCATTGGGTAAGACAGAGGGGAATGAAGGAAAGGGAGGGGGAATGGGAATTGGAAAGAAAGTAGAATGATTCCTAACAACTTTCCTAAATTCACATATGAATACACGAACAGTATAACTCCACATCATGTTCAACCACAAGGATGAGATCCTTAGAATGTTATATTCCATTATGTATAATATGTCAAAATACATTCTACTGTCATGTATATCTAAAAAGAATAAAAAATAAGATAAATAATAGAAAAGGAATACCACAGAATTCTACTTCTAAGATAAATCAAAGTTGAAAACTACATGAGATAGTTGTAGAAAAACAAGATAGAAAAACTACAAGATTTTTTCTAGTATACAATATTACTTTTATTATTTTTTTCCGTTTTATTTTCTTTGGCATTGATAAATCAAGGTATTTGATTTGAATAATTTCCTACAAAATACTGTGTATGTCTGGTACTCGGAAATATCCTGTTTTATTCAGGAAAATTAAATGCCATTATAAGAACAACTCTAAATAGCACTTCAAAACATAACTTGGTATTTTTATTCTTTATGATCATAAGGCAAAAAAAAAAAAAAAAATAGTGCAGTTTGGGACATGCCAAAACACTAGTTTGGTTTTTTATGGATAATGAAACATAATGTGAAACTGAGCACACTGCCCCAGGTAATTCATGTGACCTTCACTCAGAACACTGACCCCATTTGTATAATTGAGATAAAATTATATTAAGGAAAACCCTCTGAGATAAAGTCAAGTCAAAGGATAATGCGCAGTAGCGTGAGACTAGCTCACCTGAGTGGTTACGAGTATTAAATGAGTATAGATTTACAAAATAATTTAGAACACCCTTTAGCAACTTTCGTTCCCAAGCTTTTCCCGCCTGTTTTTATCCCTGGATTGCCAATCAGGGCGTGGGGCAGTTACTAACACCCGCCTGCCTAGAGTGTGCTGTGCCAGCGAAGCGCCCAGAAACCTCCACTATTGTCTCTTGCCCTGCGTCGCAAGGCCCGGGTTCTTAGGTTTAATACTTGCTTTATCTTTTCTTTCTAAAATATGCGCCACGGTCACGTTCCGGCGCCCACCTTCTCCTCAGTCTGAGGAACAACTCCAGCCTCTGGGGCGAGGCTCCGAACTGCGAAGGGAGACAGCGAATAAGCCCGGGGCGGACTCGGCTTCCTAGACTGCGTGGCCGAGCACCGGGTCCTCAGCGCACGAGGGCTCTGGTTCCCACACCACTCCCAGCCAGGCTCTGTCAGCCGCGTGAGCAGCGTTTGGATTACCAGGCGGGCCACAGCCGTGGTCTGTGAAGGCGGGCGGCGCCAGGATTCTGCGTCAACCTGGGCGGGACCTCCTCTCACTGACGCCATCAACCCGGTACCTGCCAACATGGAAGGTGGCGACAGCGGCGCCACTATGGCTGGCTTTGGGGCTCTGGGTTCTGGAGCGGCTGCAGCGACAGTGCGGGAGCTTTTGCAGGACGGTAAGGAGTGGAGTACTGGCCAGGCTGCGGGGCGGGAGGGAATATCCTGCTCGGTGCCTGGGCCAAGGTGGTGGACTCAACCCTTGCTTTGCCCAAAGTTTTCTGGTCTCGACTTGACCACTCCCCTCCGCCCGGCCCCCTGACGTCCGGGTGCAGCCCAAGCCAACTTATTCCCCCTCTTCCTTTCTGGTGTCCTAGGAACTCCTGGTTTTGAGTTGCTCCTCTTCTCAACTCCGTCCCCCATGTGTTTGGGCTTCCCTGAAGTTCTAGGACCTCACACCCAGTGACCCGCCTTGGCAGCCACCGCCTGCTGCCGCACTTTTGACGAAAAGATGAAGCATTCTAGCCCATGAAAAGTGTAAGACCTAGAACAGATAATAGACATTTATTGAAAGGAGTTCTTTTTAAAGTGGAGTTGGAAACACCTCCTCCGTTAAATTATTGGGTTATACAGGTGTCCCTTCTTGCAGTCTTGTGTTTCTTTGAGGAGGCAGTTATTCACAATTAGGCAAGCAGGAGGGTTTATACTCTTAGTTCAGGCAGGGGTTATCTATTCGTACAGAAAACAGCAGTCAGATTTATTGGTAGTCAGTTTTGAAGAGAAGTTATCCCCAGTAAGTTTAATATAGTGTACTTGAAAAGCACATTCAGTTGTAGTCCAGTTAACGTGCTGAGTCTCATCATTCAGAATAAAGTTCAGATTTCTGAGGGTAAACATAAGTTTCTTAGTGTTTTCCCTAATGGATATAACGTTCTACCTTGTATTGAAATCATTTGTATACTTACCTTAATCTCTTCTGCTCTATTGTAAACCTCTACGCCCTCTTTTTTTTTTTTTTTCTTGGTACTGGGGATTGAACCCAGGGGCCCTTTACCACTGAGCACATATACTCAGCCCCCATCCCTTTGTTACTTTTTGAGATGTTGTTTCTCTGAGACTCGAGATCTCTCAAGTCGCTGGTGTGCACCACCACACCCTCCGTAAAATCCTTTTTTAACTCCACAATGTTAATAGCCCTATGTTATATACAGTAGGTGCAGAAAGATTTTTTTAAATTGAACATTCCTGTAAGTGTATTATAAAAGGTTAAAAGTTCTAAATTGTTTTTTTCTGTTGAGTATTTTTGTTGACTTTTCATGACAATCTATATACTTTTTTTTTGTCAAAATTAAGGATATTTTCAGGACTAGATTGTGTTGAATCCTTTAGGTTAGGTTCCCTGTCTAATACATCTTTGTTTTTTAATTGAAATTCAATTTAACCAAGTTTTGAACTCTTGTGAGACTGTCTCCATTTTTTTATTCTCAAGTAGCTCACCATCTAGTAGGGGAGAATGGGCCGGGGTTGTGGCTCAGTGGTAGAGCGCTTGCCTAGCACGCATGAGGCTCTGAGTTCAATCCCCGGTACCACATTAAAAAATGAACAAATAAAATAAAGGTGTTGTATCCATCTACAACGAAAAAAAAATTTAAAAAGTTAATAATCTTGTTGAGCTCTAAAAGTAAGTATTATAATAGTGTTGTAATAGTAGCATTAGAACTGTGTACAAAGTAAACCATTAGTTCAGAGGATGATAACTAGAGGTTAGGGATTGGTCAGGCAGTGTCCAGAAAAACCTTTCTAGGATTAGTTGTTGTTTTTTTTTTTCCCAGTGATTACATATGTTTTATTTTTTAAATCAGACATTGTAATTATACATAGCAGTGAGTTCATTTTGGAAAAAATCATACAAGCAAGAAATTTGATTTTAATCCCCATTCTTTCCTCCCTTTGGTCACCCACTTCCTCCCCTATTCTCCCTCTTCTACTCAAATGATCTTCCTTTCATTACTTGATTTATTTTTGATTGGTACTTTCTACATATACATAAAGGTGAAATTCCCTTTGGTACATTTAGATATGCATATAACATTATTTTGTTATATTCATTCCTTCTTTCCTATTCCCATAATTTCTCCCTTCTTCTTGTTCTCTTCCTTCTCTTCTAGTGATTTTCCCTATATATTTATGATATCTGAACACCCCTGTCCCCCAACAACTGTCTTTCCTTTACTTTGTTCTAGTTTCCCCATACCAGAGGAAACATTCCACCTTTGATTTTCTGAGTCTGGCTTATTTCATTTAGCATGATGTTCTCCATTTCCATCCATTTACTGACAAATGCTGTGATTTCATTCTTTTTTATGGATGAATAAAACTTGATTGTGTATATATTCCACATTTTCTTCAACAGGCATTGGGCTGATTCTATAATTTGGCTATTGTGAATGGTGCTGCTATAAATACTGTAGTGATTATATCGCTGTAATATGTTGATTTTAGTTCTTTTGGATAAATATTAAGGAGTGGGTTAGCTGGGTCATATGGTAGTTCCATTCCTGATTTTTTTGAGGAATGGCCATACTACTTTTCAAGTGGTTGTACTAATTTGCAGTCCCACCAGCAATGTATGAGTGTATCTTTCCCCCTACATTTTTGTCAGCTTTTACTATGATATATGTTCTTGATCTTTTGTGTTCATGATCCATTCAGATCATTCTTGATAAAATCTTATTGTAGTTTTGGTTTGCATTTCTTTGATTACTACAGATGTTGAACATTTTTTTTTTCATATATTGTTGGCCATTTGTGTTTCTTTTGAGAAATTTCTGGCTGGGCATGGTGGCACACGCCTGTAATCCCATCAACTCAGGAGGCTAGGCAGGAGAATTGCAAGTTTGAGGCCAGTCTCAGCAACTAAGGCCCTGAGCAACTTAGTGAGATGCTGTTTCAAAATAAAAAAGTAAAAAATAAAAATAATGGCCTGGGGATATGGCTTAGTGTTAAAGTGCATCTGGGTTCAGGTCCCGGTACCAAAAAATTAAAAATAAATAAAAAATAAAAACCAACAAACCCAACCAAGTAAACAAAAAGCAAGAGAAAGAGAGGGAGGGAGAGAGAGAATTTCTGTTTATTCTTTTGCCCATTTATTGATTGGGTTATTTGGTTTTCTGGAATTGAGGTTTTTTTTTTTAAGTTCTTTATCTCTTCTGGATATAATCCCCTGTTAGAGGAGTAGCTGGCAAAGATTTTTTTCCCATTCCATAGGCTCTCTTTTCTTAATAATTTCCTTTGCTGTGCATAAGCTTTTTAATTTGATGGCATCCCATTTATTGATTCTTGTTTTTATTTCTTGAGCTTTAGGCATCTTGTTAAGGAAGTCAGTGCTTGCCACTTTATGATGGATTGTTGACCCTGTTTTTTTTTGAAAAGAGAGAGAGAGAGAGAGGGAATTTTTTAATATTTATTTATTTTTTTAGTTTTCTTTATTTTATTTTTATATGGTGCTGAGGATCGAACCCAGCGACCCGTGCATGCCAGGTGAGCGCGCTACCGCTTGAGCCACATCCCCAGCCTGACCCTGTGTTTCCATCTAGCAGTTGCATTGTTTCTGATCTAACTCCTAAGTCTTTGATCTTTCATGTTTCTTTCAAGTCTTTCATGTTTCTCTTCCTTTTTTCCTGAGCATTCTTTAGTCTCTGATTTATATTATTTCCTTTATCCATCTCCGAATTTTTGGTGTCCCCCCCACTTGCTTCTAAAGCCTATTTCCCCTATTTCCCTGTTTATTTTTTATTTTTCTGCATTCAAAAATTTTTTCATAAATCATCTACTCTTTTTGTTAGCCATCTTCTGAATTATAGAACTACATTTTCAAATGTGTACTGGAATTTCTGTCTTAATAGTGAACAAGCAGTACCAGTTCTACATATGAAAACCTACACATAAACAAATAGTACAAGTTCTACATATAAAAAAATGAAGTAGATTTTTTTCTTCTACTTCTCTCTCCTGATTTTTTCCTCTGGTAGATTCTGTTTCCATTTATTATATGTAGGTAGGTAAAGCCTGCGTGTTCCTTATGTAGATTATGAATTCCTTGGTGGCTGGTGTTTGTTTATGTTCATCTTTGCATATTTAATATCTAGTGGTCTAGCTTAATGCAAAACTGAATTCCCTATTTCAGTTACTTAATCAAGAAACTTGGAAATCATCCTTGATTTGCTGCATCTAATAGCCCATTTTCAGCTTTTCACTAAGTCCTAAACAGTGTGTTTATCTGATTATTTGTTACTCTTATCACTTCCTTGACATTCTTAGTGACACTATCATTTATGCCTTCCTTATGTCACTTGGGCTATTACCATAGTACTGTACTTTACTGTACTTTGTGGCTCTACTTTATGGGTGGCATACTGGTTATCTATCGCAGTAGTAAATCAGCTTTCTGGGAAAATAGAAAAGGTCCTTATTTTATAGTATCTGCCTATTTCCATAGTGTAAATACCCTCCCCCTGGTCAATTTTAAGATATGCACATGTGATGTCAGCTGGCTTACAGAATTCCTGAAAATGTAATAGCTTGCTGCCACAAGGCAACAAGAGCCAATTATAGCAAACTGTTGTGTAACTAATCCCTTTTTAGTCATCCTCCATACCACTGCCAAGATTATTGTTCTAGAACACAAAGCTGACAGTGCTCCTTCTTGTCTTCAAAACTTTAAATGGGATATAATTTGACTATTTTGGGTATCTTAGAGGCCTCTTTTCAAACTGCCTTCCAACTTCATCTCTCATTCTTTACCCTTTCTGCCTAGCAGATACATTCTATGATGTAGACATATCAAAGTTAGTATTTTCCATATTTGTTAAAACATGCCATGGTACTTGCTGTTGCTAAGTCTTCCATTTGCTTGAAATGGCCTTTTCCAATTTGTCTGTCTGACAGGATTATTCTGAGAACCACTGGGCAGATTGGAAGGAAATGTGGTTCTCAGAATTAAGGCCAAAATAGCAGTATTCTTCTTTTACTTCACTTCATTTTGAGTCAAGAATATGAGTCTTTGCTTTTAGCAGAATAATACTTTCAGTTGATATACAAATTAATTAACTCAACCAATGCTGCACATCTGACCATGTGTCCCATTTTTTTGGGGATGTAGTAGGAAACAACACAATGATCTTATCCTCATGGATCATACATTATAGTAGGTATAAACATGGATCATACATTACAGTAGGTGTAAACAGCTCAAGTGTTATTAAATACTTTGTTTTGCTTGTTGGTTTGTTTTGCTTTATAATGTCTGTCAAGGCAGCCCTATCTCTATCTCACATACAGTTAGGAGGCTGTGGTATATATCTACCCTGAGATCATTTTTATGATTTTTTTTGGTTGGGGGGGTACTGGGAATTGAATTCAGGGGTATTTAACCACTGAGCCACAAGACCTTTTTGTTTTTCATTTTGAGACAGGGTCTAAGTTGCTGAGGCTGGCTTCGAACTCACTATCCTCCTGCCTTAGCCTCCCAAGTTGCTGGAATTATAGGCATGTGCTGCTATGCCTAGCTCTGTATATCTACTTTTATCTTTTATTTTCTCCATTTTTTAAATCACTCACAAATTTGTGGGTTCTTTATAGAAAGTTATCTTTTTAACACATAGTATCAGTTCTTTTACCTATTTACTTATTTCGCCTGGAAATCCTAAATTTCAGTAACACTTATAAGTTTCCTTGCCTATTTCTCTTAAAATTCAAGATTCACTTTATTATAACAGTATTCATGCACTGATCTAGAAAGATCTGAGGCCATACATATTATATATACATAGCCAATTTTCCTGTTGTGTTCTCCCTGGCAATGACCTTGTTTTCTTGGAAAAAAGACTATGGTTGGTAGTTATGTTTCAATATTTTACTCAGTGTTTTCCTTCCTTTTGATTCATTAAAAAAGTAAGCATTTAACAGTATAGCAGAGTGGTTCAGAACTTGGGCTCTGCACTTAGACTTCCTGGTTTGAAATTGCAGAGAGTAATGTTGGATAAGTTGCAGGCCCTGTCTGTGCTTGTTCCTCATCTGTGAAATGGGGAAAAGGATAGCTCCAACAGGGTAGCGCAAGTATTGAATGAGTTTGTATATGTTAAGTACTTAAATCAGTGCCTGGCATGTAGTAGACTTGAGTATTCTCACTGCTCTTCAGCTGTTGCCTGCTCCACTCCTTCCTCATTATTATAGGGAAGCATTTATTACAGATCCCAGTGTACAGGAAGATGTCAGAATATGTTAGTTATAATTGTTGTGTTTAATAACTGTGCTTTAGGACAGGATATATAGAGTTGTCCTGATTTTTTTCCTCCAGAGTGTTATAGTGACTTTTTAAATGAAGACTTTGATGTGAAGACTTATACTTCCCAATCTATTCATCAAGCTGTAATTGCTGAACAACTAGCAAAACTTGCCCAAGGGATCAGTCAGTTGGATAAAGAACTACACCTACAGGTAATTCAGTTCTATTGGATCATACAGATTATTCAGCCTAATATGATAATTTAGCCTTTTTGTAGAATCATTATTGTTAAATTTAAGTGCATGTTTGTATGAATAAATGCATATCTTACCGGTGACTTATTTTTCAAACTACATTTTTGCTTTTTGCAGAGTTTTCCGTATATACCTAAAACGTTTTATTTATTCTTACTGTTTACCACATAAATTGATGTGCAATGACTATAATGAGCAAAAAAAAAAATTAGAATGTCTTTGATTAAAAATAATAGAAAATGGAATTTTAGAAAGAGAATAATGAGAAAAATTGGGATGTTATGTTGTGTTTGTAAACACAAAGGTAAAAAAAACCTTTACTGAAATTAAAGAAAGTTGATAAATATGATAAATATTGTGGTGGGTAGAATACAACCGGAACAGTTAGGAGATGGGTCTTAATTTCTGATGTGTAGTTAACTGAATTTCATATCATTTATCATCTTTGAGTTTTTTTTGTTTGTCTTTTAAATCTATGAAATGGGTTGGAATGACTGAGAGGAGGAGATTGCAGTAGATAATCTTGTAGGTTTCTTCCTCTTGTACAATTCTGTAATTTTTTTTTTGGTACCCGGGATTGAACTCAGGGGTGCTGGACCATTGAATCACATCCCCAGCCCTATTTTGTATTTTATTTAGAGACAGGGTCTCACTGAGTTGCTTAGTTAGTGCCTCACTTTTGCTGAGGCTGGCTTTGAACTTGCGATCCTCCTGTCTCAGCCTCCCGAGCCATTGTGATTACAAGTGTGCACCATTGTACCTGCCAATTCTGTAATTTTCATAGGGTAGTTTTACTATATGTTTCTGGTATTGCATTTTGCTTGAATAGGGACTTAATAAATAATTTTTTAGATAATGAAAAAAAATATGCAAATAAATGGACCATGTATCATGAGACATGTCTACTTAAACTTTTTGGGTCTTAGTTTCTTAAATAAAATAGCAGGTTAGAGGATTTGTATGACTTTCTAATGTTACTTTAACTTAAAATTTTTTTATTATATACGGTTCAATATTTATTGACAAATATTTAGAAGACATTTTTAATTGTCATGTTTTGTGTCAGGCTGTGGGGATAGAGAAATGAATAGAACACATTTCCTGACTTTCCAGGGACTCTTAGATCAGTGGCAGACAGACAGAAGTAAAGGCGAACAGATGAGGCATATTTTAATTAGAATAGTACAAGGTGTTTGTGAGATAAGGGAGAATGTAGTTAACTGTGCATGTAGTTCTAAGGTGTTGGCATTTTGCAAGAGTCATCTGAAATTATTTCTGCCTGCTTATGCTTATTTTGTCTATTTTTGCACATACTACATTCTCTGTAGGAATCAGTATGAATTTAAAATTTAACATTTCATAGATAGGACAAGTTACACTGTTAAGTTTAGGATGTGAGAGGAAATCTCTGAATTATAGTATGAGATCTGAACATGCTATAAGTGGTGTTTTTACAGAAGCAAAATTGAGATAATACTAATTGATAAAATAAATACAATAAAATTAATTTGTCAGTGAGATGATTAATATTGCAAAAGATTTACTAGTAGTTAGGGCATGAGGAAAATTCAGATGTCTTCTGGTAACCTCAGAGGTTAAATTAGACTAACACTTGGATAGGAGAGGAAGAGACTTGATAGAATGACAGTGATATCTGAAATAGGACAAAGTGGAGGGTGTCAATGAATGAATCTTTGCTGATTAGGAACTTAAGTTTACCAAGATAGCTTTAGTTCTTTGTAGATACAAATAAGAAACTTTTTATTCATTGGAATTAAGTGTAAAAAATGATAAAGATTTTTCATTCTAAAGATTTGGATAATTTCTTAATGTTCTTCGGAATCGCTTGCCAGTGAATTTTAACTTTTTTTTTTTTTTTTTGGTACCAGGCATTGAATCCAGAGGTGCTCATCCACTGAGCCACATTTCCCAGCCCTTGTTATATTTTTTTTTACATTGAGACAGGGCCTCACCACGTTGCTTAGGTCCTTATTAAATTTCTGAGGCTGGCCTTGAACTTGCAATCTTCCTGCTTGAGCCTCCTGAGCTGCTGGGATTATAGGTGTGTACCACTGTGCCCAGCATGACCTTTAACTCTTAACCTTCTTTACTTTTGTTGTGGTCATCTACACTGCCCTAATTTTCTTATATAAAAATGTCAGTCTTCTGTAGGAAAGAGAATTTGCTGTGACACCAGGAAACTGGAAGCAGGGATATATTTAAGTATAGATAGGCACCAAGCGCCTTATCTGTCCATATTAGGATATAGCTTTGACAGTACTAAATTAAGTTCAAGAACTAAGAAAACCTGATGTTTGAAAACATTCTTTAAAGAGAAAGAAGAATAACCTGTCAAGAACTAGCTGATTTTTCCATTTTTGGTACAACTCCACTTATGTATTTCATTAGGGAAACCAGGGGCTTCCTATGGTCTGAGAGTTCTTATTTCTGAAGAATTAATGTAATGTGTTGAAGGTTAATCCCCAATGTAATAACATTAAGAGTTGAGGGAGTTTTGGGAGAGTAGTAGGGCCCTTATTAGTGAGGGCCAGGGGAGCTGTTCAGGTTTCCTACCATTGAAGACACAGAAAGCACCGTTTATAAGGAATGGGTGTTTACTAGACACCACATTTGCCTGCACCTTGATCTTGGACTCAAAGAACTCCAGAACTATGGACAATAAATCTGTTTGTGAAATTACCAGTCTGTGGTATTTTGTTTAGCACCCCAAATAGACTAAGACAGAGCTAGTGAAAAGTCAATATTTCCTCCTGTTCTATTAAACTATAAACAGATGTAGGTGTTCCCACTAGTAACTTATTTTAAGCACACTTCCACAACCTCATAACCTTCATTTGTATTAGTATTTGTCCCATTTATACACCAAGAAAGAGCTTCAGTTCTTTATTGTGGTAACCAAGAAAAATGCATTATAGAGCAATTGTTGATTATTCATTCTTCATTTTCAGGTTGTTGCAAGACATGAAGATTTACTGGCACAAGCAACAGGGATTGAGTCTTTGGAAGGTACAGTTTATCAGTTACCACAGATTAAGTATGTTCTTGGGGAAGTTAAGAACCTTTAAGTGCAGATAGACCTAATATTAGAAATTGAGATGGGATAGAGTGGAGAGGATTATGCTTTTTTTGGCGTTGGGGTGGGGCAGAAATTAATCTTGGGCATCTCAAATTTAACATAGCAGAGTTCAGGGCTCAAAATTGTATGTGTATGTGTAGGTAGTTTGCTACAAAGAAAATCAATGTATATATACATATTTATATATGTGCATAATATGTGCATATGTACATAAGTATACACACATATGTATATATCAATATTTTATTGAACAGAGAGTATTTAAACATTGGGATTGAATGAAATCCCCAAAAGATTATAGATGGAGTAGAGAAGATTTCTGAGAATCAAGTCTTGGGAGGTACTCCAACATGTAGAGATCTAGCAGAGGAAGGAAGAGTAGGATCAACAAACTCAAGGGTGTGATGACTTGAAGCCTAGAGAAAAATGTATTTTAGGGAGGGAGTGATGAAGTATGTCTGTGACCCTAAAGACAAAATTGACTATTGAATTTGGCAACTTGGAGATTTCAGGTGGCCTTGAAAAGATCTATTTCAATGGAGTATTAGTGAAAACTGATTAAGAGTAGATTGTGAAGAAAATAAGATGTAAGGAAATGCTGACAACCAAGACAAGTAGGGGAATGAACCATGAAACCAGCAAAAAGAAAGGAAAAAAAATAATCCTCAGGTCCTTTTTGGATTCTGTTGGACTGAACCATATTAATGTATTATTGTATGCTGATAGTAATGTTTTATTAGTTCTAATGTTACTTTATTTAGAATATGAAAGGATATCTATACTTAAATTTATTTAGATTACTATGTTTTAAAAATATGTCTGTGCCAGTTGAATATAGAAACTGAGTTTTAAAGAGTAGAATTCAAAATAATTGAATCACAATAATGGAAAGCCTAAATAATGAAGTTTAAGTTCTCTCTGAAAACACTAATAATTTTGTAATTTTTTCATCATGTTGTAAACCTGGATTATAAAGGCAGTAATATGCTTGCTGTCCATATTTATTTGTATAATACATAATTCATTAATTCAAAAAATATTTATCATGGGGCTGGGGATGTGGCTCAAGTGGTAGCGCGCTCACCTGGTATGCGTGGCCCGGGTTCGATCCTTAGCACCACATACAAACAAAGATGTTGTGTCCGCCAAAAAAACCTAAAAATAAATAAATATTAAAAAAATTCTTTCTCCCCTCCCTCCCCCCCTCCCTCTCTTTAAAAAAAAAAATTTATCATGTACCCGCTAATGATTCTGAGTTAGGCTTTGGTTATATAGTAGGGAATGAAAAAGATACTTTCCTTAATATCAGGAATTTATATCCTGGCAGGGGAGTAAAACATTAAACATATATAACTAAATATGTAATTACTTAATATAATTGTGCCATAAAGTAAAAAATATAATATTCTATAAAAGTGAATAAAAAAGGGATCTAAATTAGTAGGGGATCTTGTTAGTAATTGTTTCTGTTAAGCACAAGTCTTGAAGAAATAGTGGGAATTATCTTATAGGAAATTAAGGGCTAGCTAGAGTAAGTACTCCATTTCCAGATAATGTGGGATCTAACAGACTAAGCTATGGACTATAGTTTTAATATAATAGTGAAGAGGAGACCACAGACGGGTTTTAAGCAGAAGAATAGTATGATACAATTTGAACTTTTGAAGATTTCAAGGCTTTGTTTTTATAGTAGTAAAGTACATGTAATAAAATTTACTATTTTAACCATTTTAAAGTATACAAATTAGTGGCATTAAGTACATTTACAATGTTCAAGAACTGTACCACTACCTAGTTCAAGAACTGTTTCACCAATCCAAATGAAAACCCTATACTCATTAAGCAGTCATACTCAGGTCCCTCAGATTTCTTTTGTGGGGTAAGCATTGAAGGGGGAAGCTAGTTATAGGTTTTCATAACAGTGCAAGTAAAAGATATCGATCGGTTGCTTGGATTAGGATGGTGGCAGAAAATGTTAAAATTAGATTTGTATATATATTAATTTTATTTAATTAATTTATTTTTACCCAGTGTGAATCCTTGTACTTGTAATGCCAATGTAAGTTGTTGTTTTCCCAGGTGTTCTTCAGATGATGCAGACAAGAATTGGGGCTTTACAAGGAGCTGTGGATAGGTACTGTTATTCATTTTATAAATATATGGTGTGAAATTATTTGTTTATATTTTGAAAATGATTCTTTTTTTTTTTTTGTGGTGCTTGGGATTGAACCCAGGTACTTGTGCATGTGAGGCAAGCACTCTACCAACTGAGCTATATTCCCAGCCCTTTGAAGATGATTTTGTTCTTATTTCTCTTTCTCTTTTTTCCTCTCTTAGGATGAAAGCAAAAATTGTGGAGCCATACAATAAAATAGTAGCCCGCACGGCACAATTAGCAAGGCTTCAGGTAGGTTCTCACTTTTATTTTTAAAAAACTTTATTATTATTATTTATGTTGTTTTTATAAATTTTATTTCTACAAACTTTATTATTATTATTCATGTTGTTTTATAAATGTGCTTATTTAAAGAATATATATCCTGCAGAAATAAAAGAATTGGATAGAACATGAGAGAAAAGGGGACGAAGTAATAAATAGCCCTAGAAGATATCCAGTTTAAAAAAATATAAATCCAAATTATTTAAGTGAATTATTTTAATTCTCGTTATTGCTGTTTAATATATCATTTACTGTTTTATTTTCATCTTCAATTTCTTTCATCAATTTTTATGGTTTTTGTTGTATAGATCTTTTACCTACTTAGTAAATTTTGTTCCTAAGTATTTTATTTCATTTTTGTAGCTGTTAAAAATTGGACTATTTTCTGGATTTACTTTTCATTTTCAGTGTTCAGAAATACTACTGATTTTTTTGAGAATTTTTTAATATTTATTTTTTAGTTTTCGGTGGACACAACATCTTATTTTATTTTTATGTGGTGCTGAGGATTGAACCCAGCGACCCGCGCATGCCAGGCGAGCGCGCTACCACTTGAGCCACATCCCCAGCCCAATACTACTGATTTTTGTATGTTGGTTTTTGTATCCTGCAACTTTATCAAATTCATTTTCTGTTTTTGGTGAAATATCAAGGGTTTTCTACATATCAGATCATATCTGCAAATAGGGATGATTCTTGCTTTTGGGTTTGGATGCTTTTATTTCTCTTTCCTCATATCTCTGGCTAAGACTTTCAGTATTGTGTTGAATAGGAGTGGTAAGAGTAGATATCCTTCCTCTGTTCCTGATCTTAGAGAAAAAGCTTTGAACATTTTACCAGTGAGTACAATGTTACCTTTGGTATTGTATATGTATTATATACGGTCTCTATTGTGTTGAAGCACACTCTTTTGAGAAGCACACTAATTTGTTGAGAGTTTTTTTTAAATTATGAAAGGATGTTGAATTTTGCCAAATGGCTTTTCTGCACCTGTTGACAGGATCAAATGTTTTTTTTTTCTTCAATGTGTTAATGTGGTCAATCACTTTCATTGATTTATATATGTTGAACCATCGTTGTATCCCAAGGATAAATACCCTTTGGTCATTGTAATGATCCTTATAATATGCTGTTGAATTTGATAGTATTTTGTTGAGAATTTTGCATCTATATTGATTAGGGATATTGACCTGTAATTTTCTCTTCTTGTAGTGTCTTTGCTTGGCCTTGGTATCAGGGTATGCTAACCTCAGAAAATGAGTTTAAAAGCATCCCCTCCTCTTCTGTGTTTTGAAAGAGCAAGAACAATTGGTGTTAATCTTTAAATGTTTGTCAGAATTTCATCAGTGAAAGTGTTAAGTTCCTGAACTTTGCTTTGATGGGATACTTTTTATCATAGATTCAATTTTGTTACTTATTATTGGTCTGTTCAGATTTTGTTTCCTCATGATTTAGTCTTGGTAGGTTGTATATGTCTAGGAATTATTCAATTTGTTGCTCTATAATTGTTCATAAATTACAATCCTTGTATTTCTGAGGTATCAATTGTAATTTGAGCCCTTTTTTTCCCTTAGTCTAACTAAAGTTTTTTTGAATTTGTGTATCTTTTCAAAACATCAGTTCTTAGTTTTGTTGATTTGAGGGGCAGTTCTGGGGATTGAACTCAAGGCTTCATGCATTGCTAGGTGTGAACTGAACTATACCTCAGTTGATCTTTCCTATTCTTTTTTTTTCCTTATACCTTTATTTATTTATTTATTTTTATTTTTTAGGTGTAGATGGACAAAACACAATGTCTTTATTTTTTTTTTATGAGGTGCTGAGGATCAAACCCAGGTCCCGCCTGTGCTAGGGGAGCGCTCTACCGCTGAGCCACAATCCCAGCCCCTATTTATTTATTTTTATGTGGTACTAAGGATTGAACCCAGTGCCTCACACGTGCTAGGCAAGTACTCTACCACTGAGCCACAACTCCAGTGCCTCCTATTATGTTTCTAATCTTTTATTTTTTCTATTTCTGCTTTGATCTGTATTATTTTCTTTCATCTAATAACTTTAGGCTTAGTTTTTTTTTTCCTAGTTCTTGAGATTTAATGTTATTAGCTCATTTGAAATGTTCTATTTTGATGTGGGTGTTTATTGCTATAGAATTCCATCTCAGAATTACTTTTGCTTTATCCCATAAGTTTTGGTATGTTGTGTATTGTCCATTTTTGTTTTTCTAGAGATATTTTAAAATTTCCCTTTTAATTTCTTTTTTTGATCCATGGTTGTTTGGGATCATGCTGTTTAATTTCCACATTTGTAAATTTTCCAGAATTTAACCTGTTATTGATTTCTAGTTTCATATCATTGTGATCAGAAGAGATATTTGGTATAATTTTAGTTTTCTTCTATTTTTTAAGACTTGTTTTGTGGCCTAACATATGATCTATCTTGAGGAGTGTTCCTTTGAACTTGAGAAGAATATATATTCTGCTGCTCTTGGATGGAATGTTCTATAAATGTCTGTTAGATACATTTGGTGTACAGTGTGGTTCAGGTCTGCTATTTTTTTACTTCTTGGTGATCTGTACATTGCTTAAGGTGGGGTATTGAAGTCCCCTATTATTTGGCATTTCTCTCTCTCTCTTGCTCACTCAATTGATAGATTGGTATTAGCTTTAAATATTACGGTACCTCTGTGTAGCGTGCATATATAATTATGGTGGTTATGTCATCTTACTGAATTGACCTCCTGTATCTTTATAAAATGATTTTTGTCTCTTTTTATGGTTTTTGGCTTATAGTCTGTTTTATCAATATAGCTGTAGCTAGCTCTTTTCTCTTTAGTTTCCATTTTTATTTTCTACTCCTTCATGTTCCTCACGTTCATTCTGTGTATATTCCTAAAAGTGAAATGAGTGTCTTAGGGAACGCATAGTTGGGTCTTTTGTTTTTGTAAAAAATTTATTCAGTCACTGTGTCTTTTGACTGTGATAGTTGACTGTGATACTGTTGTTACTTTGTTGATTGTTTTCTGTTTCTTTTGTGGATCCTTTACTCCTTTCTTGCTGTCTTTCTTTGTGATAAGGTGATTTTAAAATTTTTGAGATATTTTGATTTCTTTTCATTTATTTTTTGGGACTCTAGGGATTGAACCCAGGGCCTTTTGAATGCTAAACCCATGTTGTACCACCGAGCTGCATCCAAAATCCTCTTATTTTTTATTCTTTTAATGTATCTATTAACAGATTTTGATGATTATCATGAGACTTTCGTAAAACACCCTATATTTATAACAGGTTATTTTACACTGATCACAATTGAACTTTGCACAAAACCTTTTTATTTACTCCACCCTGTATTTTATATTTTGATATACCCATTTATATCTTATTATTGCATATTTCTTAAAAATTATTGTAGCCATGACTTAATTGTTTCCTCTTTTAACCTTCCTGCTAAAGATACATGTGACTTGCATACCACCATTACAATATTAACGTACAGTAGTTCTCCATCATCTATTGTTTGGATTTCTGTGGTTTCACTTGTCGGTGATCAACTATGGTCCAAACATATTAATTGGAAATTTTCAGAAATAAACAATTTATGTTTTAAGTTGCACAATGTTTTAAGTAGCAGGATTAAATCTTGTACTATTCTGCTCCATTCTGTGCAGGATATGAATTATCTCTTTGTCCAGTATATCCATAGTGTATATGTTATACACACCTTTTAGTTACTTTGTCTCATCAGATTGACTGTTATGACATTGCAGTACTTGTATTTGGGGTACATTTCTATCTGTGGATTAAGGCATTCAACAGGAATTCTCAGACTGTATTCCTCATGGATAATGGGGCTGACTATGTGTTCTGAATTTGAATTCGTACTTGCTTTTATCAGTGCTTTCTATTTTCATGTCACTAATTATCATCTTTTGTTGAAAAACTCCCTTTAGCATTTCTTGTAAGGCAGTCTAGTGGTGATGAACTTTCTCAGCTTTTGTTAGGGAAAGCTATTTTTTTCTCTTAATTTCTGAAGGATAGTTTTGCTGATAAAAGTATTTTTAGTTGGCAGTATTTTTCTTTTAGCATGTTGAATTGATCTCTCCTGGCCTGTATGGCTTCTGCTGGAAAATCTGCTTTTTAGTTGTATTGAAATTCCTTTGTATACAATATACCTCTTTGCTCTTGCTGCTTTCAAGATCTTGTTTTTATCTTTGATTTTTCAAGTTTATTTTGCTCTGGTCTTGATTGGGTGAAATTGATTGGGGATCTTTGAGATTCCTGTCCCTGGATGTTTGTCTTTCCTAGAATTGGTAAGCTTGTCATCTTTTCTGCCCATTTCTCTGCCTCTTCTGGGCTACATTGGTGTGTTTGATGGTAACTACTATAAGCTTTTTTTGCTTTTTAAAATCCTTTTATCTTTATATTTGTCTGATTCAGTATTTTTAAATAACCTGTCTCTGAGATCACTGATTCTTTCCTTTGCATGATCAAGTCAGCTGTTGAAAATGTATGGACATTTTCTCATTATTGTGTTCTTTTTTATAGTTTCAATTAATTGTTGAAATTCTCATTTTGTTTTTTTGTCCTTTCTCTCATTCCATTTAGCTGTGTTTTTTGGTTGCTTTCTGAGCTGCTTTAATGTGATTATTTTGAATTCTTTGGAAGTATGTAAATCTCTATTCCTTAATTGTTGGTTATTGGTGCTTTATTTTGTTTTCTTTGATGGTTTCCCTGATTATTAGTGATCCTTGTTGCCTTGTGTTGGTATCTGCACATTTAAAGAATTAGGGACTTATTCCTGTCTATGCAGACTATATTTGACTGGGAATGCCCTTCTGCATTGAGCCTGTTCAGAGATTGTGGGTAGAGCATCTGGTGTGGTTCAGGTGCAGGCTTGTTGCTTTGGTACCTGGTCATCAGTTGGACAAGTTTGGCTTCAGGGTCCAAAGCATTGGGTCTGGAGCCTATGTC